TCCCCAAAGTATAAGGGGCAGCCATATTCTGGAAAATATGGTCCCAATAACTTGATCAGGAAAGGGATACAAAGTTTAGCTAATTTTTCTTTTTGCGTACTTAGCCATATCTCCAGAACTTTTTAAGCGAATTGTAAGCTCTTTAAACACAATTATAAAATTCGTGTATCCAAAGCCATCTCAATTTCATGCAAAAAAAAATTTTAGTAAATATTATTTTCATGTTTTTATTTAATAAAAGTCGAAATAATTGGAATAGTTAATTATAAAATTGTAACATTAATTTAAGGAATGTAATCTTACAAAAATTTGAAATAAATTTGAAAAAAAAAATACAAAATTTGAGTAAAATCGAGAATTGTTGCCGAGAAATCCAATTTTAAAAAACTCGAAAAAAGTAAAATTAATATTAATGATTCCAAACTATTCGTTTTCCTGAGATTGAAGCTACCCCCCCCCCCCCCNGTTTTTCTGAGACCCATACCCCCCATATATTTGAGGCCAGAAATCCAAATCCGTCTAAAAAAAGGCAAGTTTATTCAGAGACAGTACGTTTTTGTGTCTGATTTCGTAACCTAAAATATAGTCTGAACTAATTAATTAGAATATTTGAGACCATTACCTCGGACCATCATCATCATCATAGTTGGCCAGACAGCCCAATGTGAGCCAATGCCTTTCTCTGAAGATTTCTCCATGACGACTTCCGATTTATCCTTGATCTCCAATTTTTTTCATTAATTGCGAGAAAATCAGACTCCACTGAGTCAGCCCATCTCAACCGTGGCCTTCCCCGCTTTCTTTTCCCAGTGGGTCTAAAAAGCATTATCTTTTTTTTTTTGTGTTGTCGTCACTTATTCGAATCACGTGGGCGATCCAATTCATTCTATCTATTTTAATGTATTTAATAATATCAGGTTGTTTATAAATCTTGTACAGTTCAAAGTTAAATCTCCATAAGAAATTAAAAATTTCATTCAAATTTAATGGTGCGTTAACACACCATNCCAATTTTGTCATTGTCCAAGCTTCAGAAGCGTATGTCAAGACTGGCCGGACAAGAGTTTTGTAGATTAAGAACTTTGTTTTTCTAGAAAGAAACCTAGATTTAATAAATCTTCTCAGCCCATAGACAGCCCTATTCGCCAAATAGAGTCTGTTTTTTATTTCAGGAGTGATCCTAAGTAAGTAAAACTCCTCACTGTTTCAAATCTACAAGAACTACCTCGGAAGATTGAGTCCTAAAACATGAATATCCGGTTAAAAGATAAAAGGCTGTTCAGGGTGGCTCGTTTTTTCTTATGCGTACATACATAAGATGTCCACAAAGTATATAGAGAAAAAAAAGTGTCTCGAGAAATAAGTACAGGATTAAAAATATAAAAATACACGAGTGTGCATTATATTACAAAAAATGCATTCTGTTATAAACCCAACTGGATTCTCCCCTTAGGATGAGATTTTTTCCAGAAAAAATACACAAATGTGACTTATAGGTTGTTGCAATTCATTTTCGTTCACAAATGTTCTCAAAATGGAAATAGCTCTGGGGATCTAACAGGTTTAGATGTTCTATACACACACCTTCCTCAATAGTGACAGGTCGGATTCGATATCGTTTTCATTTTACTAGCTTAAAAGTCTGATTTTCGAAAGCTCTATCGTCATATGAAAAAAGATTATAGGAAGTATACATTTTATGATAATTGTTGCATAATGTAAGAAATATTTTACATCAGATTAGTGATTTTTATTTTTTGAGTCATCAAAAAAGAAAAACTGCAATATTCCTAGTTATGATTGACATTATATGTTACGAGTTATGTATACCTATAACTTTGAAACATAAATGGCATTTAATTTATAATAGATAATTAAAAGATGTTTTAGTTAATTTAAAAAGGGAGTTCTGAATAAAAAAAGCTGAACATTTTAGAGCAAAAAAAAATGATTCGATGAATGAGGCACACTTCATTACGTATTAGTAATACTTAGTTAAGCATCCAAGCAATAATCTGTGCAAAAATTCTATTTCACGGACTTTTTTAGACACTCGATTGTTAACTATCGATCATTGTCACCAGTTTTCAAACGTACTCTAAAATTGGCTAAAATACTCTATGAATGGAATACAGTAGTTATCTTTATTATTGGTGCTCAGATTTAAAGACACCCTTAAAGTGTATATGAAAGCTCGATTTGGTGTTAACTTGAAATAAAATATTGATTTACATAATTTTTGGAGTTTTAAAACACCAAATAGGGATAGGTATATTATACAGGGGTATTTGTGACACTAAGTGAAAAAGCCTGAAAATTTTAAGTGAAAAAACTCGATAACAAGATATCAATTTACTTACTATTCATATTTAATATAATTTTTTGAACTAAGATTTATAATTAAATTACTTACCAATAAAGAACATCGGACTTTTATATTAACTAATTTAAGAAAAAACTTAGTTCTAAAAAGAATAGCGATATTGGATTTTAAAATCATGCGACTATGAATTGTGACATTGGATTTTAAGAACGCTAATATACAAACTGCAATATACGAAAATATAAATTACAATATTAGATTTTTATATCACATAAATGAATCATGATGTAAGATTTTCAGATTCCATGAATACGAATAGAGACATTGGATTTTAAATTCCCGTCAATGCGAATTGCAATATTGGTTTCAAAAACCTGTAAATACAAATTGTGATATATTTTTAAATTATGTAAATATGAATCACGATATACGATTTTTAAATAGTGTGAATACGATTTACAATGAGTAGGTTTTCAATCAGGTAAATATGAAAATCCATGTTAGATATTAAAATTGAGTTAATATGAATTGCGATATTAGATTTTAAGAACGCGAAAATACAAACTGCAATATTGGATTTTAAAATCATGTGAATATGAATCCCGATATCAGCAGATTCTAGCGTAGTTTTAAATACAGGGGTGATTGTGAACCCAAGTCAAAATTCCGGAAAATTTCTTGAGTTTAAAAAAAAAACAAAAAAAACATTTTAAATTAAAAAAATTTGAAAAACATTTAAACAAGGTTTTTTTCTCTTTTTTATCAATATTTCTTAGTTTACTTAAAATATATATTTAAAATTTTACACATACCTATACCATTTATACATACCTATGATGACCTGGAGAAGTAATTAAAATTTACAAATATGTCTTTCTTTCTTGAGTTTATGATTATAACAACTATTTACTGATCAAAAATTAATATTAATCATGAATATAAGTTTATAAAGTATCTCCCTTACAAACAAATAAAATTAACTGTGTTTTTAAGTTCCATCTTTGAAAATTGGATTTCCGGAAACTTCTGTGATCAATGAATTTTTGAAACGTCTGGACCTTCAATTTCCGGATCACTGTTAGCAAAAATTCTGGAAATCCGGATTTTTTCCGGAGCACAATCAGTCCTGAATAATAAAAACTATAAAAATCAGATAAACCAAAAAAAAAATTGCAAATTGGTCCCTTATGGAAATATCACATTTAAGCGAGTTAGTGAAGGTTTTAAGATTTAAATTTTAGGCTATAGAATTTATTTCTTACTTTAAATTTTAGAGTGCAGTTCAAATTTTGTTGGATTACAAGTTTTGGTTTCGCGGAAGCGCCCTACTTCTAGTTTCTAGTCCTAGAGGAATGATACGAAAAACCAGGAACACAATCAGCCTTGATTATGCCACAATTTTTAAAGTGTAGTTATAAATAGAATCTGTCACAAGTAATAAACACCATTTCTATTTTTTTTGGCAACATCCAACTTTAATGACATTGTAACTTTTTTATTGTTTGTAAATTAACTGCAAGGCACGTTTTGTAACAAATTCATGAATCAAAATATTGTACTGATACAAGAGAATTAAATATAAACAAGTCTTTAAAGAAACCTTCAAAAAGGACTCATTTATAAATATATTTAGTTTAAATTAATCTCAGTGTTTCACGGTTTATTAAAATATTAGATTAAAAATGTGATTGATGAAAAACAATATTATATTGCATTCAAATTTGTTATAATTATTATTCAACAATATTTCTTTTCCTTTTTTTCAAATTACATACTTTTTTATTATTTTGCAAAAATTAAAGAACACAGTATAATTCCATTATTAAGCAATAAAAAAATCATAACAATTTCAGATCAATACATAGAAAATGGGACACAATTATATTGGGACAAAAAGGTAAAAATATTTTTTATTAAAAAAATTTTAAATATCAGGACAACTATTAACTCTACTTTTATAACTGTTCTGATTTTTGAAAGAGAAAAATTGATAAGTGAAGTTCTATCCATCTTTAACTGTAAATAAAATGATAAATACCCTCCCTTTTTTCCTTTAAAAAAAAACATTTCTTTTTCAGATTTTAAAAGTTACTGCTTGACAGTATTGTTTGGACTCAAACTGACAAACTCAAGGTTTTGTTCACTGATTTTAATCCAAGTGGGGAAAAAATTTTCCGAATAAGATTTTAAAAAGATTACAATTTTTTTATGTTTAAAATATTTATAAGTTTTTAATTCCAACTACTATTACTTTATTAAAATAGAGTTCAGTACTATAAAGTTAAAGCTTTATTTTAAATATAAGCCATTCATACTATTTTTTTATTTCTTGGCTAAAGAAAGAACATTTCGACAAGGAAAAATTCAACAAATATAGTTATATTTTTTTAGTAAAGTTAAGAAAGAAAAACTCTTAAATGTAACTTTTTTCTTCTCTTACTCCAAAAGTGCAGTTAGCATGGTTTGCATAAGAACAGCTCATTATAATAAATTATAACAAAATATTCTTTTTTTTAAAAAAAAAAAGTTTATAACTTATGTACAAGCTTATTTTGATTCATTAAAACACACACACACAATAAGACAGATTTCAAGACAGCAATCAATATTTTACAATTCCGTAAAAATAATTTCAAAGGAAATATGATGGTATGTGTAGTGAATAAAAAGCAAGAAGAAATGTCACAGAATTTATTTTTCTATTAACACACAACATAAAGGATTGTTTTACGAAGTAATTTGATAACAGAACTAAGATTTATCTTCAGGAGTTCAGAATCCAGGAGGAGGAGTTACATTGCACTGTTCAGCAAGGTAGAGCATTTCCTCTGAAATTGAAAGAAAAATATCAGTGACAACAAAATGTGATACAAGCAATTTACTAAAGCTGTAGGTAAATTTAATTAAAAAAGGAAAAACTACAATTGTTCTAATATGACAGGGATGGCAAGTTTCTTTCAGAATGGTAAAAACTTTCCTAGAAGAGTATTGGTTTGATTCAACCCAAATGGAGAAAATGAAGAAAGTGGAGAGAAAATGGAGAAAAAAAAAACCAATCTAGTATCTAGTTCAAATAATAAAATTACCTACTTTTCAATATATCAATTTTAAAAAAGTAAAATTTGAAAAGCAAAAATTGGGAAGAGAAAAAATAATATGAATTGCTTTTGAAATTAAAATAACTGTTTGTAGTTCAATACTTTTTTTAAATGAGAATAGTATTAACTTATTTTAAAGATTATATAAAGAACTCTTAAAACATCATTAACAATTTACATTAGCAAATAATAGCATACTAATTTTTTCTAATTTGTATTAAGAATGGATGCTTAAAAATATATATTGATCATTTTGAGTTTCTTCCATTGTGCCCAGTTTGTTCCTGTTTTTTCCAGTTTGTTTTAATTCTATGGAAGAAATAAATTTCTTCTGAACAAAACATCAACTCTGTTTTAAGTATTTTACAAAGATGCTTTATTCACACATCCTATTGAAAGTAATTTCAGAGGTTAAACACAAGATATCTACGCGATGGCTATCAATAGTATAGTTGGAGCAACCGAGTTAAAATAAATTTTTTACTAAATCTAATATTTGTGTGAATTGGAGTATGTATTTCAACAGGATCCTCTTCAAATAAACAAACTTTTCCATAAAATATTTCAGTTGTAAACAAACATAAAATCCTGAATCTCATAACAATTGAATATATTTTAGGCAACAAGACTCAATCTTAAACGAAATATAAAAAGCGGAAAACAGAGAAAAAGCTGTGGTGACTGATGTTTCAATTTGTACGAGACTGAAGTTACAAAACAAACTATATTAAAATTTTAATAACCTTTTCCGTAGCATTACAAAATACAGTGAACCCACCAGGAAAGACCACCTTTATTTACGACCACTTTTGAGAGGCACAAATTTTTTTCCATAAGCTTTGCATTGAAGAAAACCTTTAGAAGAGACCATTAAAACCTCTCCCAGTGATTGAGTAAATATGTGCACCCAATGCGGAAAAGGTGAAATAAGGAAACAACAAAAATATCAAAACAAAAAATTTAACACTACAAAATAGTAGATTAAAATATATTCAAAATATTTGTGAGGCACTTATTCGGAGAGCTCTTTTTGACGATACAGCCTCATGCAGTCGAAGTGCACCAAAGATATTGCTATCAATGATTTACTTTTATAGTTGACAGTTAAATTAGGAAAAAAAGCTATTTTAGAAAAAACAAGGCATCTCAAACAAACCTCTTCTCATCTTTTAAAGCTAATTTTTAAGATATAATATTAAATGCAAACTTTTAAAAAAAATATATTGTTCTTAGTTGGTTAATTTGTTTTTACTTATAATTATATAAATTGGGATAGTTTTTATAGACGCTAAATTTTATTTCTGGATTCGTCTTTTCACAGCGCCAACGGAAGTGGTGCACCAAGAAAACACAACGACTATAATTAAAATCGTTTGCAAAAATCGTGTACCTTTGATAACAATTTTGAAGTCAATGGAGGTAACCCCTACGAACAACCAGCCTGAATCAACAACCATTTTACTGTGGAACGGAGAGTGATCGCTCTTGAGAGATTTCACTGTACTTAAAAACTACAAATTTTTATTTTATGTCAAAATAGTTAAAATAAGAAGCTAAGAAATTTGTTGTTAGAGGAATGATATTAAATGTTTATTTTTTTGTTATGTAATCATTTGTATCATGGAATTGCCTAAATAGGTTTCTTCCAAAACAAGTGGAAAAGATATATCAAATATTAAAACAATTTTTTTAACAGTTTAGAGTTGGAATCTAATTTAAATAACAGTATATATTTCAAAGCTATACTTAATATATTATGAATACTACAAAGCAACAATTGAGAAGAAAAATAAATGCAATGAATTTCTTAAGAAATTAAAATAACTGCAGTACTTCAATATTTTGCTCAAATGAACATAGTAAAACCTAATTTAATAGAACATCTATTAATAGTTCTCTAGCAACTATTCTCTTTTCTATTATGCTAAAAACGAGAGGCATAAGAAAAACTTATGACACTTTTTTTAGGGTACTAAATTCTTTGGTGAAAATTAAAATCATTCTAAGTACCAAATTACAAAGCTGATTTTACTTGAGGAAAAATGGGCATATTAATATAAAGAGGTATCAAAATTATCAACTGTTCAATATCATAGATTCTTTTCTTTTTTCAAAACTTGGAAGTTATCGAAAATTTAGAATGCTTAGAATTATTAATATAATTCTAAATAAAGACCTGTGCTCTTAAGTGAAACTTTAGCAGTCATGGTTCTTTAGAACTCTTAGTTTTTAATATCTAGCAAAATTGTGGTGGCCCATTATATTATTAATAAATAAAATTAAGCCACACTGAACTAGCTGGTTCATGAGAAACATACGTAATATAACATTCTCAAAATTTATATAAACATTAAACAGTGAGTACAGATAAGTTATACAAAGAGAGAAACTCACTCCTCGTGGCAGCTTTATTTTCTTCCTCCAGTTTAGCATTTAGAATTGCTTTTTGTTTCTGGTTATAATCTCTTATCTTTGTTTCTTTCCTTTTCAAATATTCTATAAAAAAAAAACATCTCATTGTTTAAGATACAAAAACTGTGAATATAATTATAACATTGGTGTAAATAAAGAGGCAAAAATAGAATTATTTGAAGGTTTATTCATAAATTTAAAAAACATTTTTCGTGTGATATTTACATAATATTTACAACTAGTGGGCTGCGCCCCCTGCTCGCTAATGCTCGCCAACCCCCGAAAATTGCTACGCAATCTTATATGGTTTGCTTTGCAAACCAAGATCGCTTCGCTCGCTACTGACTTAGGTACATTGCAAATGCACAAAATTCTAAAATTTCAAAACAATCATTCAAATCCTTTCACAACCTTTTTTTAAAAAAAAAATTACATCTTTTTGGTAAATACTAAGTCATTAAAATAAATTTGTATTCAAATAAATGACANCGCTTCGCTCGCTACTAACTTAGGTGCATTGTAAATGCACAAAATTCTAAAATTTCAAAACAATCATTCAAATTCATATAACAACCTTTTTTTTAAAAAAAAAATTACATATTTATGGTAAATACTAAGTCATTAAAATAAATTTGTATTCAAATGAATGATATGTAATTCGTTAAACCTATTAGAAATGTGCTATAGTATAAAATCTTAAGATAAAATTTCTAAAGCTGATATCTCTTTAAAAAGGTTAAAATTTTGGCTATAATTAAGCCTAATAAAAATTGAAAAAAAAAATGAATTGCTATGGAAAAATCTGCATAAACAAATAAATTCTAGTAAAACAAATAAATTCATGACATAAATAAAAAATTGTCACATAAATTCGTAATATATAAATTTGCAAAGAAAAAAAAAACGCTTTCAACAAAATACTAAAATATAGAGATCTATCGACAAAGAGTACTCACTTCTGCCTAGCTTATGCTCTCCCTGGTTATTTCAGTTTCTGTTTTTAAAAACGCTATATGTTGAGCCACCTGAGCTAGATTTGGCATGTGACATTTTTAGCGGCAATCATTGGTCGATTTTCTAGCGGTGCCATTCGGGGAGTTGTAATGAGGCTTATTTTTTGTCACCGTGTAAGAGAAATATATATGGAGATGATTTTCAATGCAGAAGGATTCTTTAGCTTATTCTATTGATTAGGTTTCTTTTTTACATCTACTAAACATTTAAAGATTGATTTTTGGAGATATTTTTTTTATGCTTGAATTTTAGGTATATCTGATGGTAATCTAAACTTTGGTGTAGCTCGGACATATTTTCAACGCTTGCTTCACACCCGTAGACTTTACCCAAAGCCTCAGTCATAAGTCTGACACATTTTTATGCAGCTTATGTTTGCTTGCAGTCATAATTGATGACTAATCTAATATCACCTTCACTTAAATCTTATAGAATTGGAAGATATACCACACAAGAACTCTAATTAATGATTTCAAAATAATCCAAAGCTTGAAAGCTCATCTTTAATAGTATAAAATTTGATCTATAGCTAATTCTTGTCATCAAACAGTATTCGATTAACGTTTCAAATGCAAGCACCTTGTAACATTGTCTGATAATTCTCAATTCTGTATGCAGATGATACAGTTTGTCCAATAGTCCTCTTTATTTTCCCCATATAAGATTTCTAACTATTGTCAATAGAAAGTTTATACATTAAAATCTTAAAAGCAAAACAAACTATAAAAAAAACGAGCTTAAAAATTTCATACTACCAAAAATAAAGTCAACCTTCCGATTATTTAGGAAACATTACTTGAAACTGTTATGTGGCAATTCCTTCTCTTATGTTACAAGACAAAATGAAGATATTAATTCATCTTTTCTGACACTACAATTCACAATTGAGAAATATTTAAGTTTTCCTTTTATTCTCAGGCTGTGGAAAAGTGGATCAAACTTAAGACAAAGGCTTAAAAAAAAAAAAATATGTGGAAGATTATTACATTTAAGCAAGACTAAAATCTAAATCCAGTTATGTCTCATTTTCAAAACAAATCAGACTTTTTATGAGTAGTAAACATAAAAAATGAATCTTAATACAGTAAGACAAAGAATCCTACTACATTGAAAATTTTTGGAAAAAGTTGTGGATAAAACATAAATACCACACAATAAAATTCTACAGATGCTTGGGTAAGGTGTGGATTGAACTTTACGTGCATTTTGCATCATTCAGATCTAACATAATGAGCAAAGTAAAAAGATACGAAAAATTCTTTAACTTCTGTTTCCTACTTAAACCTTGCAAGCAAAATTACAAAGTAAAAATCACTTCACCACTTTTGTGTGAAGTAATTGCTCCATTTTAATAGTGTTTAGATACACTAAAACTTTTTACAGTGTATATGTTAAAAAAAAATCCAAATAATTATTTTCATTACTACTACTGATTATTTTAACTGACAGAAACTACTAAAATAACATCTTACTGAATCGTAATGTTCCATAAACAACTCCAGTGAATAAGGCACCATATCGGCAAGCCTAAAAAGAGTAAAGGATATAAATGAATTGCCCAAAAAACATTCAATAGATTATTTTTAAAGAGAGAACACATATTTAAGAGAAAGAAGTACAAAATTATCAGCTATATTTTAAAATACAAATTTATTTAACTGCTAATCATTAGGTAAAGGAGAAAATTTATTTTTAAAAAAAAATAAGATTCCATTCCAATTCAAGAATTGATTTTCTATTCTGGACTGAATGACAATTCGCAAAACAATTGATCATTATTCAAAAGATGAGAAACAGTGCAATCTCTTGAATTAGAATTAAATTTACAGTCCACAGCATGCAAATAATACAGTCAATAGTTTTAGATAATTTTAAAAAATGTGACACTTATCTGCATTGGGAGGGTTGTAAAAAATTACCTATTTTTGTTGTCAATGATAATTAATAGTGCCAATAGGGACTATTTGCACTATGGTAATCAGTATGTAACATATAAATATAAGTACTTAATAGGGATGATAATTCTATATTGGACCTACCCATGCTAATTACTATCACTAAGACGTAAAAAGGTTAAATGCTTGAAAAAATTTTTTTAAAGGAAAATGTTGTAGCTTGCATGGGACTGACTTTTAGTTATACCATTCTATCTTCTTCTGTGAAGTATCCCATGTACTTCTCCCCAGTTGTCACCAAAACTTGGCATTTATTTTCATGCATGCATACATTGATATGGAAAACTTCCCTAAGTAATCCATATCACAGAAGCAATAGGTTTTTTGCAATCAAGGCCTTTTTATGAGAAAAATATCTTAAGAAATTGTTTACCTAAAAAACACTTCTTTCAAACATTTAATTACATGAATATTTAGAAGTAAACTTCACCAAATGTGAATGAATCCAAACACATTAAATGCAAAGCTTAAATTTTCTACCAATAATGATTCTTATTTGGATAAATTAATATCTTGTAATAAATACAGGATAAGAATAAAATGTGAAATTATAAAACAGTAATGAAGAACCCACACCCATTGTTTGTTCAGGAAACATGCAATTTTATAAGCTAAAATATCAACACTATTAAGAAGGAAGAGAAATTTTCATTTATACTTTGCAGATACACTAAAAGCTAATTTAATTACAACTTTTAAATTGAATGTGTACTAAATTCAGATTATAACAGAACATGAGACACATTTTTAAATTTACGATTAACATATTTGTTTGATGAGATTCAACAAGTTCAAAGTTTTTTTAACTTTCAATATTTTTTTCTTAGCCTTTCAGTTCATAACTTTTCTGACATCTATGAAGGCAGATTTACCATACTGACAGTGGTGATTATAACAATGAATGATGATAGGCATTTAATATTTTTCTTAATTTATAATTCAATTTTTATTTTGATTTCTTTACACTTCCAGTTTCTTAATTTTATAACTCTCACACTAAAATTTTTCTAAGAAAAATAATCCACGCCTGTTTGGTACTTTGTTCATTATGCTCATAGAAAGTAGAATGAAATTTATTATTCACATAATTTCAAAAACTTGAGAAAATAGAAGATTCTAATTGTTCAGATATGAGAAAGCACAGATTTCTTTATTTAAACATGTGAATAGTTAAAATTTTGATTTTATAAAACAAAGATGATTTTTATCAAACGACGGTTTGTGTATGTTTCAACACTGTGATGATTCCGTTCTTAAAGATATGATTTTAAAAAGCAGCTGATTTTATAATCCAGTGACCTTATTACTGGCGGTCACTGTAGCAGTTTGACATGGAAGCTAAAAAAATAGCAATCCTTAATTTTATTATACTTACGTTTGTCTACATCGCGGCGTAAAGTACTTATCGGTAAATGTCTAACACCTCCAGTAATGCGGACTACGGAAGCTGGAAAATTATCATACTCTTGTTTTTCAATATACAATTACATTATCGGTTATTTCATTTTAACACAACGGACTGAGAATGAAATAAAGGAAGAAAAAAGAAAATATAACTTGTTGTTTACATCTTGTCATATCTATAAGCATTCTACTTACAACGGCTAAAAAACGCTCAACAATTGGAAATACTTATTATTTGCAGACAGTGTGATATAAAAGGCTTACAGAATAGTATTATTCGATTTTTACGAATCACTTTTAGTCATTTTAAAGCTAGTTATTCACAATATATGTTGAATGACCTCTAAATCGTTGTGCTAAGACAGAGATGATAAATTTTACAAAATATTAATCAACTACTATCTTAATTTTTCCATATAAAGTTAATTAATATATAGTAGAATAAAAAAAGAAAAATAATAATTAATATACCCTAATAAAAGGAGATACACGTAGCGGAGGAGCTAATTCAATCGGTGGAACAGCCATCTTTTTTGCAGACTTTCAGGTAATACGCTTCACTTCAGTTCCGACTTTTGTAAATACTGAAATATGTACCCAGTTTTTGCACAAATGTTTCTTTAAAAAAAAAAAATTCCACTCTTTTTTTTTTTTTTTAAAGGCAACGTTTACACTTAATGCAATTCACGCACTTTTACCATCAACGATAAAAAAAAATACCTTTCTTGGTTTTTGGCAGAATATATTACACCAATCAAAATTTTATTCACCGCAGGCGGCCATCAGTAGTGAGTGATTCGCTGACGCACTCCACAGAATCATTCTCACAGAAGTCCCGCAGTGGACTGATCGTTAAGACATGACTCCCAGCAGATCACCGAAGTCAAGCATCACTGGCTGCGGTCAGTGTGCGGGTGGGTGACTACTTGGATCAGCCTGCGTAGGGACCGAGGGTGTGCGGTATGGGTCCTCGTTAAACTGTTATACCGTAAAGTACTCGACTNCTCATTTTTTTGTTTCAAAGCAGCGTTTACACTAAATACAATTCACGCACTTTTACCATCAACAATTAAAAAACGAAAGGGCGCTTGATTGGTTTTTGGCAGAATATATTACACTAATCACAATTTTATTCACCGCAGACGGCCATCAGTAGTGCGTGAAAGTGATTCACTGACGCACTCTACAGAATCATTCTCACAGAAGTCCCGCAGTGGACTGATGGTTAAGACACGGTTCCCAGCAGATCACCGAAGTCAAGCATCACTGGCTGTGGTCAGCGTGCGGGTGGGTGACCACTTGGATTGGTCTGCGTAGGGACCGAGGGTATGTGGTATGGGTCCTCTTTAAACGATTCTACCGCAAAGTGCTCGATTTCGGGTGCAGGTCGTTGGGCTTTCGAAGCGGGGGTGCCATCCCCTCTGCAGAGGATCAAAATTGTGATGGCATGTCTTCGGATCATCCTCCGGGATGTTTCCCAGACCGTCTCCAATAGCCCATTGTGCAGGTCTAGAGCGACGTAAATGAACAACAACAACAACATTCTCACAGAAAGCGATTATTCGTATGTAACTGTCAAAAATAATTTTTTTTTCTTTGGAACTATGTTCAATGTAGTTTCTAGTTCCAAATAGTTTCCAACTTGAAAGTTTTTAATCTATTTAAAAATAAAGAGAGAAACTAACTTACTAAACTAACGTAACTTCCTTTTCCTATGACTCTTTACACTAATGGTGAAAGCATGTGAATAAGTCTTGCCATAGGTAGAAGGTTCTGCTCTATGCCAGCTGTAGCCCATTTTTTTTAATAACGGCAGGCACTGAACTTTCGTTCTTCGCCTTAGAAGATGCTGGAAGTGTTGTTCATTTATCGTTACCCAGTGGGCACCTGCGAACCAAAGTCACGGAGGCGAGCAACATTACCCACGCCACACTGCCACAAATACCCGTTCATAGGGTGGGCCACATTCATACATCAGAAGACAACAGAGAGAGAGAGAGAAATATCCATGTCCAGAGCAAGATTCGAACCCGCAGCCATTGGCTTCGCAGTGAGGCACGCTAACCACTCGGCCACCTGGCCGGCCCTGTAGCGCATTTCGATTCCAATGCTCGTAATGCTTAATCTCTTACCTGGGAAATATATTCAATGGAATTGGTTAAAAAGATTCGTAAAGCGGACCCCTCAGTGGATCAAAATTATGAAGGCATATCTTCGTATCATCCTCAGGGATATTTCCCAGACCGTCGCAAATAGTCTATTATGCAGTTCTAGTAAAACAAGTAGCAAAATAAAATAAGTTTTCAAAAGTTCATGAAAAAAAAATTTTTTTTGTTTGTCTCATTCTGGTACTTAAATAACATGTTTGTTAAGCCTTTTGTTTTCATAAAACACAATAATTTGTTGTATTTTATAAAAATGAAAATAGCGCAGGTTGTTGTTGTTCATTTACGTTGCACTAGAGATGCACAATGGGCTATCGGCGACGGTCTGGGAAACATCCCTGAGGATGATCCGAAGACAAGCCATCACAATTTTGATCCTCTGCAGAGGGGATGGCACCCCCGCTTTTGTAGCCCGACGAACAGCCCGCGAAATCGAACACTTTGGGGTCGAACTGTTTAACGAGAACCAATACCGCACACCCTCGGTCCCTACGAAGACTAATCCAAGTGGTCACCCACCCGCACACTGACCGCAGCAAGTGATGATTGACTTCAGTGATCTGCTGGGATCAGTCAACTGCGGGACGCACAGATTGTATTCCTATTTTAACAATTTTTTTTTTTGAAATTTAAATATTGGGTTAACATTATTTTTAAATAAGATTGTTGATTCAGCACACTATAGCGTTAATTAAATTATAGAATTATTAAAAATTTCCAGTTTGCTCACTTAAAATTATTTTTACAAAATTAAAAATTATAGACAGTTTCTTTTAATGTTCATTATAGATGATTTCCTAAGTTCCACTAACTAAACCATTTCTACCCTTGCTTTTGGATTTCGTCTCATGGTTTTTCTAATGATGAAGTTATGTAAGTATTTCTCCATTATATTTCGATAAATCAGAAGTAGAAAAAAATATTAAAGTAGGTATATAATTTGGTAACATTTAAATTATTTTCTTTAATATTACAACAATTTTCTTTAATATTATGACAATTTAAAACAGGGTATGTAGCCAAATTAAAAAAAAAAAAAAATAACAATAATAAATAAATAAGCACCTTTTAAGCACTGTAAAAAATTATCATAATTAGGATATGCGGAATAATAAAAAAATTTTTTCTTCCTATTGTTGAAAGTTCCTAGTATTATGCATTAACAAAATGCATATTAATTTTCAAAGACATTTAACATGAACATGATAAAATTACTAGTTTCTGACAATGAACTCTTTTCTTGCTTGTATTAGTCATTTAGTTTCCTAACTTAAAATTTTTTTAATTTGTGTCTAAATCAAGACAGAAATTGAAGCTCTTTCTCTACCTGGGATTTTTCACTTGCTAATAGTGAAAGGATGTGAAGTGTTGGTGTTGTTATATGTTGAGAGTTCTATTGAGCGACACCTAAACCATTTCGATCTTCAATTATTTAAGGATCCTAATTTTTTGATTTACCTAAAATTGGAATATTTTTATTTAGTATTTATTGACGAAATGCGTTTGCTGCAATAATGAAAATTATTGAAACACATAATTTCTGATTATTTGAATTGTAACCAATGCGTTAACTCCGTGATCGTTCTGACCGTCGCCAATAGCCCATTGTGCAGCTCTAGTGCGACGTAAATGAACTACAACAACAACCGTGATCGTTCATGCCGTAAAAAAATTTTGTGTGATCTTTCCGATGAAAAATGTTTGCTTTTAATTCTCATTTTGCGGGTGTGACTCATCAAGGCGAAGTTATGGAATACAATGTCAGATTAATGTTATAGTTGTTAATACTTGAAATTACAATTATTTTCTTTCAATTTTTGAAACTTTTTTTTCTAGATTTTTTTCTGTAGTTTTCTCTTTTCTAATATACACAGTTGGGCAGATTCACAAGATATTACTGCCATAATAAAATTTATAGAATGAAATGGTTAAAATTTCAAAACACTAAAATAGGCTATGAACAATTGCATAACATGACTGAAATTTTTTTTCCGATACCATTTTTTTTCCTTTCATATTTTGGACAGTTTAAGGGCCGAAGTTTTTTGGCTCATGGGTCATATACTGTGCATCTCTGATCTAGTATATGGTGTGTTTGTATTTCCTTTTATACCAGGATTGTGGGAAGTTTAATTTTCTACTTTGTTACTGTTGATGTATTTATAGATAGGCCCAAGAAATCTCATTAGCTTGATTTTACATACCTTAACCATATTTTGTTCTCCAAAATTCTGTACTTCTCAAGATCTAATGTTCGCAAATAAGTGCCTTTTTTCTTTTTGGTCCATCACTCGCTTCCATATAGAATTATTGATCTTATATAGTTGTAACTTTGTTCCTTCACTCAGGCTTCGCAAAGAATGTTGAAAACACAAATCATAATCAGGCATGCGTAACAGTGAACAGTTCCCATACTGATGCTCAGTTCTATCAGTTGTAACTGTCGAATTGAGTGTTACTGTTAGCAACGGCATGATATTACTATTGATTATAAAGTTAATTTCGAAGATTTAAAATCAAAATTTGTGTGAATAAGCTATTTTTTCTTACACTGTTTCATTGCAGCAGAAATCATCAATCAATAAGATACGTTTGTTTCAGTTGTGCTCAATAAAAATAGTTTTTAAGATGTATAATCTGAATTGAATAAATGTTAATTTTACAATAATTTTTAAAATGCTATTTATAAGTGTAGAAATCAGAGAAATTAATTGAGCCCTTTTTGTATGGTGATATTAGAGGTTTATATAAAAAAAAATTATAAAAACAGTATAAAAGAGTCGATCAACATATTTATTATATTTACAACAAATGTATATCACAGATTTCATTTCCTCTTTTCCAAATAGATTTGAAAATAACATGCATGCAGAAGAGTTGACTTTTCATTCATATTTCGAATCTAAACAAAAAACAATTAGAAAAGTTGATTATTTTGCACACAATTTTAATTAAAATCAAGTATGCATGACAATAGTATTTCAAAACTTCAGCTAATCTAAGATAAAGAAAGCTCAAATGTTTAAAAGCAATTATTTTGAAAATCAGACACACATTTTAAAAAAATGATAATTGTATGAGGCATTTCAAAAAGTAAGGATACTGCACAGATAGCAGCAAAAGAAAAGTTTATATAAGTCTGATAGAACCTTTCATGACGACAAGACCAAAACTGAAGTTAAAATGTTGTTCCGAAAACAGGCGGCACTGTTCTATGACTGGGGAATATAAAAGCTTGAACCTAGACTTAACAAATGTGTTTACAATTTCGGCAAGTCGAAAAATAAGGCATGTGCCAATACGTAATTTGTATTGTACATCTAATCAATTAAAATTTTTCAAGTGAGTTTGCAAAATTCTATCTTTATTTTTCAAAAATGCCTCGAATTTTTTGATCAGTTTGTTCTTAATGTTAAAGTAGGCTATGGAAAATGAATACTATGCAATTTAAAATCCTAAGAAAAACCTTCCCTTCAAAATATAAAAGTTCAAGGTCATCTCATTAAAAGTAAACATGTATGAAGTGGTTTATCTGAAGAAAGCAGCAACAAAGTTTTGGTTTCTTATATTATTTATACTGTTGTCTAGCTATGGACATGCACTCATTTTCATTGGAGATACACATTCACTCTTTTTTTTATTTTTTAGAGTGATTATCTTTTAAAATTAGTGAAAAATGCAGTTCTTGGCATTTTTTGCCAAAACATGTTTAATCAAACATAAAATCAAATATGTTTTTATTTTTTCAAATTTACTTACAAATTTAATTGAATCTTTGTACCCTTTCTAAAGTCTGTCTAAAACGATTTCTCGGTACCTAACTTCGTTTGGAAGTTATACCGGAAAATAGAGAATCGTCGCTAAGCAGGTAGAAAGGCCCGTTCGGCCGGATTAGGAGGGGCGACATTCTTTTTGTGTTTCATCCATTCTGTTGACTGTATATAGAAACTTATTGTACACACTTCATTTATCGACCATTATACAAATGAAATTAAACGTTTTCTCCTACCATAAGTCAAAACTTTAAATGAGTTTTTATCAAAACGCTGTTTTTAGACCTGGCCTAACGTTTTTCTCATAATCTATACATTGAAATAAGCTTTTCTTTATTTCAAATTACGTAAAAATATATTCTTTAGAAAGTAGAATAGGATTTTTTTGATATTTTTATATTTCGATTTTATATTAGTATTTTAATGAATATTTTTTAAATGAAAAACTTAACTTTTTTTTAAGTTGCCGCCATTATGGAAATTTTGCGAATATCAAAAAACCGCTAGGCTACTTTTTAGATTATGTCTTTATGTTTCAGAAAATCTAAACAAAATCGTTTTCCTATGTTTCAGGACTTTCATGGAGAATCCATGAGGCCAGTGAGGTGCTACTTTTATATGACCAGCCACACGGAGCTGCCACCAACTTATTTTTTATTATTTTGTAAAAGAAAATTTTTTAAAATAGACTTAAATTGTAGCTAAATAACATAAAAAAACAAGGAGTCTCTGCATGGTCTCTATTACTTAAAAAAATTCAAGAAAAACATTAATAGTTTACCATCTCAGGGTGGGATCCCCCCCTAAAGAGCCTTAAAATCTTGAGTAGTAGAATAAAGCTTTTTAAAAAGTTAATAAGTAAATTGTTCTGGTTTTTAAAATGTATAAAAAATAAAAAAGTACCTAATTAAAAAAGAAATATATTTGCATAGATTTTTGGGTAGAAAAAGAAGCAAGAATTGGAGAGTACTTACAGGACAAACATATAGAGTTAATGTCCCTTATTCGCTCTTGAATGGTACCAGACAATGCTTCTACTTTATTCAACTCTGTTTTGATTTCAGTCTGTGGAAATTTTTTATATTTCTCTTGCAACATCAGTCTAAAATATATTAAACAATAAAAATTTAAAGAACAAAGTTTTCCTTACATTAAGGAGAAGCATTCATTATAAAAAACATCATTAAAAATTAGAAACATTTATCAAGCCGTTAAAAGGTAAATTGAATTTTAAAATAACAAAACTTTACAAAGCAATTTAAAAACACAAAATTTGTACTTCAAAATGAAAAAAATTATAACATTGTTCAATAGTAATTTAATGATAAAAGTAAGAAATGTTTTATAGCAAGAATCCCTCCTAGTATAGTGAATGTGAAGGAAAATTTAAATGCTTCATATAACAAAATTCATCGCAAAATAACCAAATAAAAACAATAATGCAACAGAACTGCATTGCTTCCACAAGAATGTCAATTTAAATTTAGAATGTCAAAGGTCCACTCTTATGGAATCAGAATGCAGGAGCATTAATTTGTGGATAGATTTGAAGTTGCATAAATATATAATCTGTTTTCTGCACTGCTTTTAAAACTCATTACGAAGAATGAAAATTTATTTTTATTTTAAGTGTTTCTGCCAGCCTATGCCAAAATTTTAAGGATTTTGTTTGACACCAGCTAAGAAATTACAATTTAAAGGTAAAACCCTGCATCCTAACTAGAATAACTAGTTCTATTCTTTGGTTGAGTTAATACGTATATGACTTTGAATAAGCATGTTGGAGATCTCAATCAACTTGGTTATTTGTTGAAATTAGATATTTACTATGTTGATTAGCAAATCGGCAATATGTGGTTTATTCTTAAATCAAAGCTAGTTCTTTTTTTGTTGTAAATTTTCTGTTGGATGTCTCAAATGGGATCTCTAGTATAGCATGTACCATTCAAAGTGTTTACTGTCAAATAAGTACTTTAAAAAACTTATGAAATTTTGCTTAGTTTAAGAATTTAAAATAAATGTTTTAGTTTTACTTTTGAGGTTCTAAGCATTTTATAACAATAGTTTTCCCTCACAAACAGATATCTCTACATCCTTATTCATAATGACTCTTCAACCTCACAACATTAGTAACCATTAAGGAACAATTCTGGTACACTAGAAGGAATACTGGTAATAGCAGTAATATATAAGGGCAACTTTGTTTAAAAGAATAACAATTAACTATAATATACTTTACTTTTATTATTATTTAAATTGAATGCAATCTTCAAAAAAACAAAAAATTACTATTTTTGGAGAAAAAAAATGAATAGACAATGGTTCTCAAACTCAATTGTCATCACTAAGAACCAGTGAAATGCTGTTTTGATCAGGAAAAATCTTACACCTAATACGAACAAAGCAAACAATTCAAAGATACAATAAAACCTGCTTAATTTTTTTTTCATTTAAAAGGAAGACAAAAATGTAGGTTCAACTTATCGTAAAAAAAACAACCTAAATGTATCTTAAATGATTGATATGCTGAAATTCTTGTTTATGTAATAATATCCCCACACATTAAGTTATACTTATTGAAACTTATTTTTGATATTAAAGTCATAAACATTAATAAAAAAAAAGTACGCAATAAAACTAATTTACTCAAATTCCTTCTACTTTTTTAATTTAAGGCAGGTCAAGTATAAATTTTTGTTTTTGCTTTCCCTTGGCAATCTGGAAAATTCATTTAAATGTTATAAACTTTGCTTGTTAAAAAATTGAATCAAAAAAATTCTACAATCCTCAAGTTTTCGAAGTGTATTTCTTATGATTCATTCCCTCTTCATAAAAGAATAGGTATTTATTGTATTTTTAACATAGCTCATCTTCCCTTCCTTCTGGAACAGGTTTCTTATTGTATTTTCTCAATGACTCAGTCTCTCATCATTCTGAAATAGGTTTCTAAATGTATATTTACCATGACTAATTATCTTTTCTTTTTGAAAGAGGTTTTTATTGTTTTTTATAATGGCTCATTCTTTCTTCCTTCTGAAACATCAAAATAAAAATTAATAAAGCAGTTTAAAAAATAATAATTCCAACCTTTTGAACTTAATAGCTTCTTGCATAGCTTTTAGGTCATAGAGACAGCACTTATATATTTCCCCTTCCGAACTTGCTCCATCAACAGGTACATGACAAGAGTTAGCCGATTCCTGAAAAAAATTATCAAACATAAAACTTGATAAATTAATAAACGAGTACGAAATTTTGCATCCTAAATACCAACCCTTAAGAGATTCTTCATATTATTAGGATTTTGAAGTGCAGTTTGAATTGTTTCTCGAACTTCAACAGAGGGATGACCCAATGAATTTAGAACTTTCATGACACTGTTAATTGGACAAACAAGCAAATTAAATCAATGAAGTATAAAAAATTTTAATATTTAAAATTGAGCTTAAATGATTAAGTGTAATTTTAATTGTTTTCCAAATAGCTGAACATGTTAATATTTAAAGAAATATGTCTGAATTATTTACAGAAATATTCAGAGCTCTCTTTCTTTCTTTTTTTTTTAAATTTAAAAAAAAAAAGAAAAAAAGACTGTAAATGTTCAGTACATTCTTTACAACCCTAATCAGGATTAGAATTTTCAGGATGTATTCACATATGAACTGAAATTTAAACAAAATAGAATATTTATGCTGGTCTCCATACTTTTCTCCAAACTTTATGCCTTTCTTCTGTGTAAAAATATAACCTAACTTATTAAAAATTACAGCCTTATATCTACAGATTTTAGTGAACACTTTTAATAAGCTAGGATGAAAAATTTACTAGTTTTTTAGTGTCTTTCATCTAGAAATATTTGTAATCAAAAATTTAAAATTTAACAGACAAAATTGCAAGCGGGCTCAGTGGTGACTTGAAGGCCATCCAGCTATAGATCGATGGGTACCAAATTGCCTCCAGTAGGACAAGACAATCTATTAGGAAATGTAAATCAATAATTGACGATTCCATGCTTGGATTAGCATTTTTTTCAAAGCATTAGAAATTGTGATGTATGCATGATGCATCATAGACATGGATGTCTACGCACATGCCGAAAAGCATTGATAGTGCATTGATGGTATCAAGTGTGCGTGTGTCAAGAGCAATTCTCTCAATCAGAAATCGAAGACCACAAGCTCACGCGAAGAGCATTTTCCTCCAATCGTAAGTATACTAATTACTGTGGCGATTATCGTTATCCTCAATTTCTTACAATGCGACGCATCAAACAGAGATATACATTTAGTAAAAATATTAAATGCAAAACTCATAATATAAAAACTAGAATTTTAGAAATGATATTGACTTACACAAATAAGGGATACAATTCAACAGATTGTTGAAGTGGAGAAAACCCGTGAACTCCATTTCTAATGAAAAAGAAAGAAGCATAAATTAAATTCAACGTAAATTAAAGTCAACATAAATTCATCTTCACATTCATTTTTTTTGTATCAAAAACAAATGTTATTTAAACAATTTGTGTTAAACCAAAGTACCAAATGCATTAGTTTCAATGTAAAAAGTATAAGAGCAAGGGACTTAAAATATAGTTTTTATGACATTAGTTTTTTTTTTCCTTTCCAAAATCAGAAGTTTCAGAGATATCAGAAGACTTAAGAGTTCCCAAAAGTACATGAACAAGCAGAAATTAAGCCTAAGTATCAATTAAGACATAATAATCAAAGAACATTAAAAAGGAAACTTGAAGAAAATCAGTTTTAGAATAAACAGAAACAAAAGTTTTGTTCAGGGTGCGTAGCCAAATCTTTGAATCAAAAATAAGCACTTTTTAAAAACTTTTCAAGCACTTTACAAAGATTTTCAAGCACTCAAAAAATTCTCAACTTGACCCTGAACTCAGAACAAAAGTACCCTTACCCCCTACATCAAAAAAAGTGTTAGAAGTAAAATGAAATAAACAAGAACAAAATTAAAATAAATTAAAAAGAAAAACATTTCATAAGGATCTGATATTCTCTCTCCGAATTGGAGCACTCGGGTTTCGGTCAAACTCCCCATTTTTTGTGAAATGCATGGGATCCACCAGATATCACTGAAGGGAAAAAAAATTATTCAGAAAAAAAGCACTTTTTAAAAACGCCTGCTGAAAAAAGCACCTTTAAAAGCTTTTAATAACGAAATCCCCAAAAAAGCACCTTTAAGTACTTTTTACAAATGCTACGCACCCTGTTTGTTTCTTCTATTTTTGAGTATTGTCCATAAATTATTACATTTAATGATTTTCCATGTTACAATTAATGGTAATAAGCCATAATATGTTTTCAAACAGTATGGACATTACCATCTTAAATCATTTTATTTAACGATTTCCCAGGCAAAATTAATATGCCATTAATAGTAACAAGTAACAACATTTTTTTTTTTAACATTATAGACATTTTCATCATAAATGTTCTAATTCAGTGATTTGCCAGACTGGATTAATAATCTACAATTAATAACTACAAGCTATAATATGCTTTTAAACCTGTCATATTGGCTGTTTTTAAAATGTCCCTAAGTTTTACTGCAAATACTACTTCTATGCAGAAAAATCTTGTTGAACTTTAAGTTTTTCCCTCATATAAAAAATTTAAGTTTAAAAAATATTTTATATCAGGGAACTGAGGACTCTTTAATTTTGCTAGGCTGAAACACAAATATACACAAACTCAAGTGCTTTAAAACATAAAATTAATTGTCATACAAACTGTAAAAAAGGTAAAAAAACTCAGGAAGAAAAAAATATTAAAAAAATTCGTAAATAGAATTACTTTTCACATTTCAGAAATAATTCATTTTGTTCATCTCTTAAAACTGTAGTAGTAGGAATTTCTACATCCTTACACTGTAACTGTAAATAAAATAAATTGTATAACATGCATACACGGGATATAAAATGCAATAAATAATTACATAATAAATATGTATACTTTTTTAACAATCATGACAAAGAATCAAAAAAATCAATAAATTTGTTACAATTAAATATGTACAAAGGATAATTTTTATCAGTTTGAAAAAAAAAGTGAAAAGATTACTGCTAAAAATAAATAAACAGAAAAAGAGTTGATTGTGCTGTTATCTCTTAATTCATTTGCACATCTTAATTTTCAACTAAGTTAATGAAATTTTAAAAAATAAAACTAACAAGTAAAGTATACAAATTGATGAAATAAAAAGTTATAAAAATACAAATTAATAGTAGAAATGTTAAATGCATATTTAACTGCTTATTAATATTACAAACAAAGACAATTACCAAAAGTGTAATTCTTTAAATAATCATAATCTGTGCACACACTGATTAAAAACAAAATCTGGGATTGAATAGAAAAAAAAGTGTTGAAATTAAAATTTTCTACTCTTGCTACAGCAATCATTTAGAATTTTCAATGTTTATTATTCTCTTTATTAAGAAATCTCTGTTAACAGTATTAAATACTATGAATAATTAGTATCTTAAGATATCAAACATATTTGTTAATTATAAGACCTTTAATCTCCCCAATAAAAATAAATTCCTCTTTCTTAAGTGACAGTAAAGTTAGCAGGGTTCTTTTTAACAGGGTGTCTGAAAAGTATGGAAACTATCAAATAACATAAGAAGTATGCATTAGATCAGAAGTAGTACATGAACAACTTTTAAATTTCATATAAAAACCACCATTTTTTATGCTAAAATTACTATGTACAGCAGAAAAAAATTATCCCCATTTGACATATAGGTTTTTAAACTTTGCGTCACAGGTGGTGCTGTAATCACAAACTGAAAATGGGATATCTATTGCTGAAAATGAAAATATCTTGAGAAATACATGTCAGATCCAAAACATAAAAATTACATTGCTTGACAGATTTTTAAACCTATATAATGACACCAAAGAATACCCCCCAACCTTGAAAATCGATTCACTCTCAGGGGATGGAACAGGCGTTGTGTGAATGGAATGTGTTTGTAAAAAATATTACATGCATGCAGTTCTAGATTTTTTGCAATTCATATTTCACAAGATATCTGTTACTTTTTGGACAACATGTATATCATTTTTAATAATTCTTGAAAATGTCTACTGTTTATTATATTTAATGCCATTTTGTCTACTCTTGTTAAAAAATAATGATAACAAAAGTTTCTGTTAATAAGTCAAATTTTCCCAAACTCAATTTTCGATTCAGTTTTACAAGTTCTCCAACTTTTGTACAACCTACAGTTGTCTTAACTTACAAGTTGTCCAAGTTTTACAACACATTAAAAAATGCAAATATTTATGAACCAAGTAGTTTCACAAAATACAATTCATGCATAGTAAATGTAGTAATAAAAGGTAAACATTTCAAACGAAATTGTGACAAACTTGGACTTACTTACTCTTGATTTTAAAACTTCAGCAGATTTATCATGCCAAAATAAATTACAAAGATCAGTAGCAGTCATATAAGCCATGTCAGAAATCATAATTATATGAGTCCAATAATCATCTCCCAGATAAGCCCTAAGAAAAAAAAAGTATAAAAAATGCCATGTCAGAAATTATAATTACATGAGTCCAATAATCATCACCCAGATAAGCCCTAAGAAAAAAAAGCATAAAAAGGCCATAAAAGCCACGTCAGAAATTATAATTATATGAGTCCAATAATCATCACCCAGATAAGCCCTAGGAAAAAAAAGTATAAAAAGGCCATGAAAGCCACGTCAGAAATTATAATTATATAAGTCCAATAATCATCACCCAGATAAGCCCTAAGAAAAAAAAAGTAAGAAAATGCAGCTAAGTTTATTTACATGAAAAATTTTATTATGCTTGTCTTGTAACAATAATAAAATAAATGAATCAATATTTGTAATAGCTATTATGGTATAACATACTTCATTACAAATTTTGATTTATAAAACGATTTGATACAATCTGCTTTTCTATCCTAACAAATATTTCGGATTTTTGAATTATATATCTAAAGAACTAATAAATTTTAAAAGGTACTTAAAATGATATTTTGAACATAAAATACTTACAAGTAGTGATATTTTATTTCTAAAATTTTTCTTTATCCATACATCTTATTCTTTATATTAAAAAAAATCTTAAGTTGGGTGGTTTGTTTCAAAAATTTAGAACAAGTTTATTATCTTAGTATGTAATTCATGTACAGTAAAAAAAAAAAAAAAAGATTCCAAATGAGTACATAACAAAATATTTATTTTTCCCGTGAATTCTTTAATTATTTCAAGAGTAAATAGTTTTCAGTTTAATATATTAAACAAATTAAGTTTAATATATTTAAACAAAACAATGAGAATTTTAATTGCGTTTGAATTTCTTATGTATTTAACATGTGAGAAAAGCTGGTTTTCAATGGGTGAAAGACTGTAGGTTGAAATATGATTTTTTATGAGCAGAGAACATTTAAGAAGTTTTTCACAAAGTACATGAAACATTATTTTACAAAATAAACAATTCAGGTTTCCACTAGCTTGTTTATTTTCACAAACTGAAGATTCATAAATTGCAAATAGCAGAAATCCATCAATAAAATTAGAAAAAACATTGAAAACTATTTATAGCAAAGGTTTTATCACTTTTATTTGGTTGGTTCAGAGTTGCTTATGTGATGGCAAAAATCCTTTCCTCACTTTGATTACAGTCATGAGTACAAATAATTTATATTATAATTAATTGGATAATTTATTATATTATTAACACTATAATTATAACTTATTACTAATATACTTAATTTTTGCTAAAATCAGAGACTCTTTTCATATTAGAGTAAGAAGTTAATTCTAAATACTTATTGTCTAAGTAAGAGTTATCGTTGACACACTTTAATAAATTAAAATAATAAAAAAAAGAAAGAAAATTAAAGCAAAACCAATAATTTAAAAATTACGATTCTCTTAGAAGAAAAAAGAGAGGCGTATTCACCTTTCTACAAGAGATGAGCTATTCTTCTTATCCTGACTTTCACCATTCATTCTAAATCTAAAACAGGAAACACCAGTTATTTAAAAGCTATAATAAAAATTCAATATGCTTCTACTTAAGCAGAAGTTTTCTATGTTCATAATTTTTTCCAACTATAAAAACTAAATATATAAGAAGAGTAATTATATAAGGAGAGAAATTTCATAAAGAGAATAATTACTTAAGGAGAGTATTTATTTACCCATTTTTTCAATATCATATAATTCCCTACAACATATGTAAAAAGGTTTATAGAAAGTGACCTTTTACTATCTGACATGCAATTGATTACCAAATTCTTTTTATAAATGTAAATGCATAGATACACTGTCTGAATTAACACATTTTTAGTTGTTGTAGTTCATTTACGTTGCACTAGAGCAGCACAATGTTCTATTGGCGACGGTCTGGGAAACATCCCTGAAGATCTGAAGACATGCCATTACAATTTTTATCCTGTGCAGAGGGGATGGCATCCCCGCTTTGATAGCACGACGAACTGCACATGAAGTCGAGCACTTCACCGTAGAACAGTTTAAGGAGGACCAATACCGTACACCCTCAGTCCCTACTCAGATTGATCCGAGTGGTCACCCACATGCATACTGACAGCAGCCAGTGATGCTTGACTTCGGTGATCTGCTGGGAACTGTGTCTCAACAGCAAGTCCATCATTGCAGGACACACATTTTCTGAGATTCAGAATTTTGAATATCAAAATATTGCAGAGGTAAAAACGGCAGAAAGAAAGTGAAAATTTAAAAAGTAGCAATATACATTAATGAACAGATAAGTAACTATGAGTGAAAAATTTATTTATTATAAAATAGAGAAAGAAATCATAAAATGAAACAAATGTTAAACCCAACTGAGAGAAAGGTAAAAAAAAAAAAAAAAAAAAAAAAAAAAAAAAAAAAAAAAAAAAAGAGAAAGATTTAGACAATTAAGACACAGTTTCAGTGTTGGGGCATCATTCCCTTCAACACATTAATTTTCCAATGTGGAGAAATGGGGGAAATTTGGTTCCTTATTCTTGAATGTGAATTTTTGAAAAAAAAAGAAGAAAAAAAGGGCAATTTCGACATTTGGAAGAAAAAAAAAAGAAAAACAAGAGGTAAATAATAGACATGCAGATTTTCTCACCTGATGTGAAGAATAGCAATATTCTGGAAAATTTGGGATAATTAGCTAAGTTAAGAAAGCAGTTGTATATTGTAGCCCTAATGTTAATTGTATTTTTTTCCCAATTTACCACATTTAAGGTATAGAACTATTTAAAAAAAATTACATATGATTCAAATTATCTTACTTAAAGATAACTATATGAAAGAATATTTCTTTATAAGCATGAATTATTTATCAATATTGTATAAAACACTAATGCATATGTATGTATTTTGTTAAAAAGAAAATAATTATTATTTATTTATTTTTTTGCAATGGCAACAAAGAATTAAAACCTGAAATATCAAGAAGTGGACGAGCAGTGATAAATTTGCATGCTTTGTAAATATGTTTACAAAGTTCTGAATGAAAATTTTTTTCTTGCTTGTGTAACAAAAAGCTTAAACAAATTGAGCCATAAATTGGGCAGAAATGAAAGATTAAAAGCGAACAGTTCAGCTAAGAAACTAAGGGTTTATCTATTGCAGTGATCAGTTGGTCAAATAAAATTCATTTCGTTATTATGCCAAAGCAAATTTTAACCAATCACAGGGTAGCTTTTTCCTATTTATTTTTTTAGTTTTGATAGTCATGGTGGCCAAAATCGCTGTGGGATCGCATTTTTCATCATATGAGGAATTAGAAAGAGTTATCTCTGAATTGAGTTACATTACATAATATTCTTGTTTTAAGGTTAAGTGCCACTGTCTGGTATATCATACTTTTATGTTGTTTTTAAGGTTAACCAAACAGTTCTGATCAGTAGAATAACATAAATGCTAACATACTAACCCTAGAAATTGGTTCAATAACATTACCACTAATGAACCAAACTCGTGCTTGGGTTAGTTCCGGTAAAGTACCACTGTTCTCAAAAGGATTATATTTTACCAAAGCCACTATTTTGCAATAGCCACTGAAATAAACTCATAAACTGAATCATATTTTTTGTAATCATTCTACATAATCAAGGCTGAAGAGAGACGCCTTTTATATTTTTGTTTGGTTTTCATACATTTTATGAATTTATGCTAAAATAAAGGACTAACAATTAATTGATGTATCTTTAAATGCTGAAATTATAATTGTATTTATAGAGAAACTCAATGAATAACATGATTGCTTATAAAAAAAATCTGCCAACAAATTATTTCGAATTGCTCCTAGTAATCATTGAGTATACATTTCTAGTAGTCAGAGTTATGTCTTTATGGTCATTCACTAGAGCAGCGTTCCCTAACCGCTGGCCCGGTACCGGTCCGTGGGTCAAATGATACCGGGCCACAAATTTCATTGAAAGTTAATTTAAATTCCTAGGTATATACCCCAAATAAAAAAACATATGTGTTCAATTAAAATTTTATTGATTTAAAAAAAGGGGGCTGGTAGTGGCATTAATTCTTTAATGTTTCAAAAAGTATAAAAAAAATAACCACTGCAACTACTTTCTCTTTCAATTAGTTTTAATTAAAAAAAATCAATCATCATAACTGTAAATATCATAAATAAAACCCGAAAACGCAGTGCGAAATTTACATTGGAACTATTGAAGGACTTTGTCATCTCTCTCGATCGTTACTCGATCGTAACGTTCTAGAAGTTAAAATGTCAAATCACTTTATATTTATTTTTTGGTGTAACTGTATTTTATTTTGAAGGCATGTTTAAATACAATTAAATTTAAATTAATAAATTTAAATAATTTAAAATATAAGCAATCAACGCCCCCCCTCCCCCCGGGCCAAGGTAAAATTATCAAACGTTGACAGGTCGGCGGTGAGAAAAAGGTTGGGGAGCACTGCACTAGAGGACTGCTTCTGATTATGACTGCAGTTAAAAGCCATATTTTCATTTAATTTTATAAAATGTAAATTGTTTTTGAAACCTTTTAGGATAATTCACAGAATGCCTAAAGTCATCTTATCAGTTTCTTTAAGATACAGTTATCCTTATAAATTGCTCCCTATATATAATATCACATTTGTTGATTAATATTTCATCAGTGAGAACTCAATTAAAGTTATTTTTATGTGTTTATTCTTTTCTATAAAATAATTAAGTCTATTTCAATTTAGAGTATGCAAAAAAAAAAACTTACAGTTAACTGCAATCTGTTTTACAAACATGAAAAAACAGAACAATGAAATCTGTTATAATTTAAATAACTCACATATAAAAGAAACAAATCATTATTTAAAAATTAATTTAAACATACACAACTAGATCACATAAAAAAGTTCATTGTTATTGGGAAAGTTGGTGTAGCAAGTAGTCAAAATGAGTGTTCAAAACTAAATCTAAATCAGATTAAAGAAATCTGCTACGACAAAACTATGAGTACTTTACAAAACAATGCATTAGTATATAATCTATCAATATTCAATATAAAAACACAAAAATTCTCGATAAAGATTAACATAAAATAAAAAATAATAATAACCATACCTTTGTGAATCAGCACAATAATTAACAGAGGCACTGTTCTCTGCTGAGTTATTTTCTCCATTGTATGTTTCAAAAACTTCAACCTTAAATGTTTCAATCATAATAATACATGTAGGTAACTTCATTTAAATTGATAATTAATATTATTTTAAAATGGTTGATAATTAAATGATATTTTTACATTAAACACATACTTACAGGTGATTTATCAATTAGATTAGAGTTATCAGCTGAATAACTTTCAGCTAAGTTTTCATCCAACAGTATTGCATTGATATCAATGTCATCATCACCAGAAGTATCACAGAGTAAAACTGACAGTGAGTCATCAAACTGAAACAATATTTTAAATTACCCTATAATATAAATTTAAATGCACACTTAAAATTATAAGAACAAAAAAAGATGCAATACTCTCAATAACTTTTTAATAGTCAGATTTTTACACATTTTGATGTAGTCTTAACAGCTTGAGGGATGCATCCAAGATATACTAACATTTATTGGCAACAGGATTGCCTTTCAATCTTACGAGATTTTCTTTTTTCAGGAAATATTTCAACAAATTACAGACCATATTTTGGGAATAAATTACAAAATTTAATCAGATAAATTTTTTTTTTTTTAAATTAATAATTTGATGCATAAAAATTGTCTGTCTTTTGAATGAAATTACTTATTTAATAAATAATGAATGAAAAGGAATTGTACACAAAGTAGAGGAAGGTTGTCTGGAAAAAAAATCAGGTGGTCTCAAACACTCTTTAAAAGTAGCGGGATGTTGCTGTTGTCCATGCATAAAGAGTAGAAAAAAGTTCTTCATAGATGGGGTAGTTACAGTATATGACTGAAGTGTATAATACTATTTCAACAACTTTATAATGTTTTCAAATGGCAGTCAGGAGTTGTGGATTAAAATGAAGGTTGTGCAACTTAAAAGTACATTATTAATGATTACATAAAGCCTGCTGTACCTTAGATCGTCATTTGTTTCGATCACTAGGGGGCTCCATAGCCATCATGACGAACTTCGCTAATGGCATCCCCACATTTGACAAAAAGTAATTACTGAGTAGCATGCATGGACTTTACTTTATGCATGGACAGAAAAGTAAAAGTAATTAATTAAAAGTAGATAATACTGAAGAAATGCAATTTTAATTGGACGAGTATTAAATTTTTTTTTATTCATGTTGCCACTTATATTTTTAAACCTTGAACCACAATATGCAAGTTCAACCTGCATATTTAGTGGTAAATAGAGATATCAGGGTGCTTAGCTAAATTTTCAACAAAATATAAGCAACTTTTAAGTACTCAACAATCTTTTTAATCCCTTTATTTAAAAAAAAATCATGATTAGGATAAGCACACTAATAAGAATTTTTTCATCCTACTGTTGAAAGTTTTTCATATATATATATATATATTAACAAAATGTAAAGTAGTTACCAAAGACATCACATTACCTTATCATAATAAAATAACACGTTTCTGCCAAAAAATCATTTCATGATTACATTAGCCACCATAAAAACAATTTATGCACAATTTTAAATATATTCAATATTGAGTGGATCATTTTATTTTTTAAATTAATAACTATTTTAATTATGTAAAATAATAAATTATAATTAAAGATAATAATTAGTTTAACTATTACTTAAAAAAAGTTATAGTTATTTTTTAGATTTGAATTAAAAATTATTTAAAAAAGCATATTCAACAAAACATTAAGAAGATTACTATTATAGATCATGCTGAATTTATAAGGAAATGTAAAGAATTAAGCAAACTAAGAAAACTTATAAATTCATAATTCTAATGCAAATTAGTGAAAATTCTAAAGATTTTTTGGTTCTATTTTAGAAAACGAAAAAGGAAAAATAGGAAGCCTGAAATTGAGAATCTCTTGCAAAATGCAACAGAGTTGCACATGAGAACAAAAGAATCCTTTCCAGCTAAGTATAGCACAAGCGATTCTGCAAGTATTTCATCAAATGCATAGAATGATTGTAAATTTTATGTGCTACAGAACGACGATACGCCAAAATTTATTGTGGTTGAGTAAGTTGTGATAATGTTGAGTGAAACAATGCAAAAACTTCGCTTTTCTTTGTATAATTCTTGGAGAAAATCAACGTGATAAAGAAAAAATATCTCATTACAGAATTGAGAAAATTATGTACTTTTTTAAAAACACCCAATAAAAACAGCACCTGTAAGAGCTTTTAAAAACGAAAATCGACAGTAAGCACTTTTAAGCACTTTTTGAAAATGCTACGAACCATGGATATTTCGTACAGGAACTGGAAAATTTCACTGAGTTAAGCTTTTCTTTAAAACACTAATTAAAACTATGAAATTACTTGCTATGTAACACAGCTCAATAATAAAGTCACGTGACGAATCACTAGCAACCAGGTATCTTACTAGCAATTAAGATTTAAAATTAATCTATAATAAACTTAATATTATTGCAAATTACAAAACTTGATTGAATCTAAGAACTAATTTGGTACAAGACATTTAATTGGAATTATATTCAGATTTAAGTGAATTGATGATCAAAACGTTTGGTTAGATGGAATAAAAGAGAAATGGCATGATAAGAACAAATCACTTCAAAAATTTCACAGTTTAAACATGAAAAAAGTGGTTGCACATAAAAAAGCAAGAAAATTTATTAACAATAAACAAAGGTCACGAAAAGTTTAGAAAAAAAATTAATTTTATTTTTAAATTTTAAAAAGCATATATCTTTAGCATATAAAATCAATTATGCAAAATTAGCCACTTTCTATATTTTGAAATAAATACACCCATGTAAATTAATATTCTTCAATGATAGTTAATGTCTAGAGTTCTAATTCACGTCCCATTCTGAGCTATAAAGATCTCCTTAGTTTATCCTTAGTTATTATATTTAGAATGATATTACAAATTTTAAAAATAAAAAAAAAAATCATGAAGTCATTCCTGTTTTATATTTGAGGTCCTGGCAATGTATTCATGATTAAATTAAGTAGTCTAAATGACAAAAAAAAAAAAAAGTTAAATTAACTTGAAAAATTTTAAGTTTTCATCTTGATGCAAAATTCTAAAATTGTGGTCGGAGGAAAAATATAACCTTATTATTTTGTTCTTTATTATTCGGCGGTTTGATCATAAAAATCAAATTTTGTTAGTTTCTTGTTTTTATCATGTATCACTAGGAAAACTGTGTTAAGAGAAGAAAATGTTCTTGAAGTGTATTGAATGATGTGTATTATATGTTTCTAAAGTGAATATTATAGAGTTAAAAGCTACATATATAAAAAAAATATTTTAGCTAATTTGTATACCTCTAATTCAACTTTAGCCATAATGCAAGACTTAATACAGAGTTGTAAAAATCTATTAGTAGCTCTTTTACTCCATACTTTGGCCTGGAAAAACACACAAAAAAAAGGATGAGAACAAAAACTGAGAAAACACGTAATTGACTAAAGATAAATTTGAGTAGATCAAAAGTTCTATTTTAGAAAACATGTCTATAAAAATGACAAGGTCTAATAAAATAGTTTTGATAAACATTAGTGTTAGCTAATTCTTGGAAGAATAGCCAGATATGGCTAGGTTGTACTTCAGTATTTTTGAAACTGGGAATTTTTTCTTTTAGCATTGATTTGAATTAAGGCTAATATTTTTGACGCCAGAAGAAAAAAAATTGTGCAAAGAAGGAGTAACAAAGTAAAATGTTTTATATTTTTAAAATATGTCTATCATTTTTCAAATACTTAATAATAGAAAATGAACATACTAGTACATAAATAGTAATTACTTTATTAATACTAGAACATAAATAGTAATTACTTTGAAAACAGAAAATAAGTTGCATAAAAGTGTTATCAAGAACAGCAGACTTCTTGGCAAGCTCAAAAAATTCACTTTCAGTTTATGGGATGACTAGATGCAATAATATCGCGATTTTTTATATTTTATTTTTCAATACAGTTAAATCCCATTTTAGTGAATTTCAAGAGAAAAGCAATTGCTAAGCAATAATAAAAATTATTTACACCGATATAACAAATTTTAACATTAGCTAACATTATTTTGTTAGATTGGAATTTTTCATCTAAAAATAAATTATAAATACCTATCAGTTTCAGCATATTTCCACTCTAGAATTAGGAACATACCAATGAAATATTTCCCAAAAACAATTAAATTAAAGCAATAATATTACATTTTAACATTTTCTTATCAGACAAATATGCAACCCATAATTTTTTTCTGTACAAATGATTAGAACCAGTAAATATTACAAACTTCTCCAAATTATGTTCATGTTCAAACAAAGTATCCAAAAAATATGATGTCCTACTTCCACACAAAATTATCTTCAAGTTAACAATTTTTCACTTCAACTTAAGTGACAGTTTCTAAAGTTTAAAAAAAAAATATTTAGAATGTTATTTAATTCCTTTTAAAATGAATTAAATAACCTTTATATTGTGTCCCAATTAAAGAATTTTTAGAACAAATATGTACATTTAAACTGATTTCAATTTATATATTCTCTGAAAAAAGTTTAATCTAATAATTTTGGGAAAAAAATTATTAATCCTTATTAAATTTAGCATTATTACATAAATAAACCAGGATATCAATTTTTCTGAAGAAAAATTTTAATTTTGTAAGACTTTTGATGGTAATTAAATAAATTAAGCATCACATGTAATGAATAAAGAACAAATCATGAAGTTAATATATTAGGTTCCTTATGTTATTTAAATAGTGGACTTACATTATTTAAGGGCTTTATTGAAGCAAGTTGAGCTTTAAAAGCTTGCCCTGGCAAAGAGATGAACGAATTTCTAAAACAAAAAAAATATATATGTATGTAGAGTGAGGATAAAAAAACTGGATGATCTTGAATAACTTTTGAAATAATAAGTTAATCTTCATGTTATAGGACTCAATCTTAATGGCATGAGAGGGTGACCTCAAATATGCTAATTAATAAGTGCAGACGATATTTTAAGTTACGAAATCAGACACAAAAAAGTTCTTTCTCTGAAAAAAAAAAAAACATCTTTTTTTGTTGTTGTCGGATTCTGATTTTTAACCTCCAAAAGCCGCAATCTGGGAAATGTGGTCCCAATAGTTTGATCCGGAGAGTACTCCAAAAAACCCTTTTAAGTTAATTTTACTTTTTGCATATTTTGTCAAATCTGGAGAACTTTTCAAGCAAATTTAAAATCATTTACACACAATTATAAAATTCGTTAATTCAAAAATAATTCCATGCAAAAAATATTGAATTGTAAGGTATACATATTTTTGAATCATTTTAAAGAATATAATTTTACTTGGCAAAATACAAAATTTCAAGGAAACCAGCAGAATAGTTCCTAAAAAATAAATTTTAAATATTTGACTTTTTTGTAATTCTATTACGCAAGAACTATTTAACCAATTTTGCTCAAATTTTGTGTATTGACATGTAAAACTACATTCTTTAAAATGATGCAGAAAAACTGTATACCTTTCAATTCACAACTTTTTTGGCCATTATTAAATAATTAAAAAATTTTAAAGGAATAAATATTTATAAAAAGTTATTTTTTGCATGGAATTATTTTTGGATAAACGGATTTTATAATTGTGCGCAAAATTTTTTCAATTAGCTTAAAATTTTCTCTAGATATAGCAAAATATGCAAAAAACTATTGGGACCACATTTTCTAGATTGCGGCTACACGCTATATTTTGGGGTTTGGGGGTCAGAAATTCATATCCGTCAAAACAAATGTATGCTTATTCAGAAAAAGTATGTTATTACATCTGATTTCGTAACTTAAAATAACGTCTGCACTCATTAAATATCATATTTGACGTCACCCACTCTGGACATAAAGAATGAGTCCTGGAATATGAAGATCTGGATAGATTAAATCAAAAGTTATTCTGGGTGGTCTCTTTTTTGGCGCACTATACGTGAAAGAATAATGATAATAAAAGATGCTTATAATTTAAAAGTTAAATAAATTTCTAAAAAATATACCACGTCTGCAATTCTTTAAGCTTTCTAATTAAGATTTGTTGTAGAGGTAGTAAAATAACACTCAGGTTTATAATTATAAGCATAAATTACTTTCACAAACACTTAGAATGTTTAGAATCAATAGAACAGAATATTGTTAGAACTTTTATCTATATATTTATATTATATATATGTAATGACAGTTCTAGCAACAATTTAACAAATTATGTAAGATTTTTTACTCAACGAGAAACCCCAAAGATTATTACGAAACTTTATCTGGTTCACTTTATAACCCAACTCATTTCCTCTGCTACCAAGTCAAATTCTGTGGAAAAGTGTACTATTATTTAATAACATAAATGATTAAATAAACTACAAAGGCATTAGAAATTACAGATTAAGGAAAGTTTTTCTGTTTCCTAAATGATAGCATCACAAAAGCTACATATTTCCATCACAGAACTTGTATTGATACCTTTTTTAGAACTTTTAAACACCATAAGTTCAAGAAAAAATATTTTACAATAAGTACTAAATATATATATGCTGTAAAAACACAATTACTTTGAATTATTATTAGTCAGAGAGGTTTATTTATAATTATTACTTTTATTTATATGAATAACAAAAAATATTTTTATAATAAATGTATTTGTTAGTGAAAAAAAGAATAAAGTAAAATAAATATTCAGCTTTGAATATTTTTTTATGGAATGTTATCTCAACATGTCTAACATCAAAAAAAGAAAACATGGTATAAAATTAAGTAATTAATATAAAAAACATATTATTCTAGTTCTTAAAAATTTAGCCATTTTTTCGAAAATATAGAAAAAATAAGAAACAGTCAAAATTATTATAAGTCAACTTGTTAAGTCTGTATATATATATATATACACATTGTTTACTTTAAATAACGAAGTCTGGAACAGGGCACTTTTTCCCAGCCTCCATAATCAACAACATAAACCTAAAAAAAGAATTCACATGAAATTTTACTTTCAATGAAATAATACTTAATATATTTCAAAATATTACATCCCAAATATTTTATTTTCCAACTGAAATGGCTAAAAATATTATTTAATTACCATAAATTATGAAATCATAATAATTTTTGTTTAAGCTCAACATCCTCATGAATTTATTTATCTTCATTATTTACGAACATTAACTACACATTTAATTAGTTTTAAAAGTACTTGTAATTAAATATATTTCAAACTAAATGTGTATAATTGAAACATGTTAATTGAAAGCAAATTATTTCACAAAAAAATTATAGTTTAAAAGTTTCATGCCACTTTTATACACATTTAATTAATTTATTATTCTACTTTAAAAATCAAATAATAATTTACAAACATTCCCTTGTTTTTTCTAAAGATAAAGTTTTTTTTTATAAATAAAATGAGACTTAAAAATCTTTTTAAAAATCACAATCTTAAGAATAAATTCAGAAGTTATACAGTGCTTTGCTTTTTCACTTAAATTACTGTTTTTAAAAATTAACTGTTTTAAATGGCTAATAAAATCAAGGTTTGAATCAAATGATTTAAATCATTTCAACCATGTACAGAATCTATTAAAAATAAAACATATATGTTTAGCTAATCCTTCATTGAATTAAATCAATAGGATTCAATTTATTACTTTTACTGTATAGTGTTATTAACACACAATTTCAGTGAAATATAAACATTGAGTAAATTAGATCACTTATGAAATTAAACTACTTTTTCTTACATTGACAGAATCAGCATTAGGTGATGATGTAATCGTAGTGCGATACCAGTGGTTTTCATGCATCGCAACACACGTTGAACCAATTTTGATGTCTTTCATAGACATCTGATAAATATCTGATTTCTCATTGTGGTAAAAAGATCTGAAAGCAAAAAAATTTCATAGTAGAAATATAAAACAAAAAATATAACACTTGTTTTAACCTTTAGGGTGTTTTATTTCCCTTGATAAGCACATCACTAGTTTTATTTTTAAGACCATGTTTATGTGATATATATGATATTGGCAATCAATATGGGCTATAGGTGGAGCATAACAGAACTCATTACCCAGGGCAACACTAGACAGACTTTCACCATTAGTGTATAGATAGTCATAGGACTTCACTTTAGTTTCTGTCTTGATTTTCAATCTTTTTAAACTTGAAAATTATATGAAAATCACAACTGCATTAAACATAGTTCTTAATAAAGGCATCATGGAAATTAAAAAAAATATTTTAGATAATCTTAATGCAAAAATATGATAGAAGAAAAAAAAATCATAATACATTCCCTAACATTTAAGCCTAAGAGGAGAGAGGCTCTAGTCATGGTCTTCTCTATATTCAAGTTTTGCAATCACAAATACAAGTGGCACAGAATGAAATTGACATATTACCTATTTCCCTTGAATGAGCCAATAAATCAGATTTAATAACAAAGATTAAGACTCCAAATCACCTCCCTTTAATTGTTAGTCATTCAAAGTACTTTAACGATGTATAAAATATGGAAAAGGGTAATTAACAATCTAAACAAAAAGTAATCAGACTAAAGAGCTGAAACAAAACAAAAGAATAAAAAATTTATCTGAATCTATTTCAGTTGATTTTGTTTTATATTAAATGAATAAAATGAGGTTGAATGAGCAACAAAAATAGAATACTGCATTTCGTCTTCTAATTCCCTAAATCTGCAGATAACTTCTTCAATGTGAAGTTTAAACCAAAAGCACCCAGGATTAATAGCAACTGATATGAATACAGGAATGTACAAAGATAAGTTGATATCACTTGGAAATTCAGCAGGATGATAAGGTTGTGTAGGCAGGACAATGTCAGATGGTATTGCCTGAAATTAAATAAGAATCACTTATTTAATTTAAAAGAAAAGCCAATTAAATAAAAATTACACAGATTACCCTGATTATTATACTTTGTCCTGCAAGTGTATAAAAATCAATGTTATACAGTATGAAAAACAAATTAATTATATTTATACTGATTACCTTGATTATTATATCATCTCTCGCAAGTGTTAAATAATCAAGGTTACACTGTATGCATGAAACTTTTATTTTGTTTTAAAACCATCGTTGTACAGCCCCGATTTGGAGTTTACAACTACCAATATATAAACTACATAGCCTTGTAGTTTTGAATCCGATTCAGAAGACAAGGGAACTCCTGGATCAAGTATTGGGGAAAAATTGCCTTTGTGCAGGACTTTTTGAAGGAATTAACCCGCAATTGCATCAAATAGAGAAAAAAACACAAATACCCTCCACGGTTAGTCTGGTGGTAAAGGGACTCTTAACTCATTATCCATCTACCACTGAAGATATTTTAATTCAGCAATATGGTCAGTGCGAGTCAGGGGTGGAATTTGTATCGACTAGCAATCGCTGCAATACACACCGGGTCAGCTCATTGGGAACCAAGCACTCTATCCGATTGAGCCACTATGACTCATGTATCAAAACTTGGTAAAGTCCATTGATTGACGCCACAAATTGCACTAATCAATGAACTTTACAAGCCAAAATTCTTACATATTGTTTACATTTGGGGCTTTTGTTTACACCTGTATAGGTGAACGTGTGGTCTGTCACCAGGGAGTAAAGTTATTAATGCAATATTATACTGTCTCTTTTTACGTCATAGATTAGAATTTGCATATATTTTTAATTAAAAGTAATCATACTAATTAACTTTTTTGTTCAATTGAGTTAGCATTGGCATTATATAAATTGTGTGAGTTTAAATTGTAGTCAATCGTACTTTCATGCTTTAGGCTACTAGAAAAAGTGGTAATTGCTGTTTTGTTTGCATCACTGTTTCTAATTGAGATTTTCTGGCATTCATCCTCATCCTAAATTTTGGAGACACCTTTTGATGCTCTCATGTTCGTTATCCACTATAGGGTACTCATCACTAAAGAAATGTTGTTCATAATACTGTATTCATAATAAGTGTCCGAAGTTTCCATTAAGTAAAATTAAACCAGTCTCTAGAAGATGGAACCTCACATTCTTTCGCAGTCCTCTTGATTTTTCAGGTTTTAAGACAAAACGTATAGCAGGATTGCCACAGAAAAAAATGAGCAAAATAGTTGCTTTTAGTAGCCTAAAGCATGAAAATAGCAGCCAAAAACTAGGAAAATAGTTGCCTAATAAGAACAAAAAATTCATCAAAAATATGACTAAAATTTTGTTAATGACTTAATTGTCATATACCATCATTCATTCAGTCAAGTTGGTGGCAAATATGATAATTTTCATATAAATGTTTATATATATATAAATGTTTACATATATATATATATATATATATATATATAGCACAATAAAAACAAAACCGAACTAAAAACGGAAACAAAAAGAAAACGGAAGTAAGGTAATAGTGGATAATATCAAGCGCTAAAGCTGCTTTAAATAGGATCACTATAACATAGCACAATAAAAAGAAAACCGAACTAAAAACGGAAACAAAAAGAAAACGAAAGNACGAATTAAAAAGTGAAGACTCAAATTTGCAATTCAAAATTTTTAAAATTTTTTAAGAAAAAAAAGTTCAGTGTGTTCAGGAACTATCTAGTGGGGCAGCAGATATTTCACCAACTTATGCTTGAAAAAAAAAACATCTCTAGGAGTACAGAAAAGTCTCCCAATAGTCTCCTTTTCCTGAAAATAGTTGCTTTTTTAGCCTTTTCAGGCAAAAAAAGTTGCCATAATCGCCTCATGCCAAAAATAGTTGCATTTTAGTCGCCTGTGGCAACCCTGTATAGTGAGCTAATGCGAATATTTACAGTAAGTGCATCACAGTCATGAAAAAAAGTTATTTTAGCAATATCACTGATAATATATTTAGTGATATTATAATATATATATTATAATATCGCTGATAATATAATTTTAATAATATATTTAGTCACTGAAAAAGAAAAATTCTTAAAGAAAAAAGAAAGATTAAAAATTCATTAAGTAATCATGAAGCCTGATAAAAATAAATTATCAATAATAATAAATTATCACTGAATATTGACAACTTTCCTAGTTTCTTCAAGCTAATACTTACTTGATTATGTCCTTCATTTGAATTTCCAAATCTTTCATCGGATAGTTGAAGAGTCTCATTTAGTTCTAAAAAATAAGCATTTTGTTCATTAGATGCTCACTTTATTTTCAAATGTTTGGCATAATTCAGTACAATCAAAGTATGGAACTACTAAATGTTAAAATATGGATCAAACAAACTATAAAATATTGGAGTTTGATTTTAGCAAAATATATATATTTTACTCTTTAATCTGTAGATTATAAAAGTTAAATTAGTAAAAGCAATATTGATTAAAAATTACTAATTTCAGTTATTTTTTTAAGTGGCAACTTTTAAAATTAAAAAAAAAGGGGGACTGAATTGAATTTTTATTGCAACTGGGCAAAACCATAAAAAGTTGATGCTGCAGAAAAATATTTCACTCAAATAGATGATAAAATTTTTGAGTAAATTAATTTTTTTTATATAAATATCTAAATCAAAATTTAAAAAAAAAAATTCGATTAGGATAAATTTAAAGTTTATAAAAACTATTTTCATAATGTTGATTCATGATATTTTCATAATGGGATATTTACAATTACTTGGACCATAACAAATAAAATTTCATATTTTATTCCAAAATAATGTTATTTGAAGAAAACAACTTATCTCTCTGTAAAGAACAAAAGGGTATTGCGTATAATTCCTTGATTTGTCACAAATTCGATTAAAAAATTCAATCAATCATATCATAATAATATTCAATTACTTAATTATACTAATGGAACAATAGAACTGTTTAAATAAATAATAACCATATAAAATAATAACAAAGTAAATGAGTATCAGGAATTTTGAGTAACCTGAATTGTTGAATGAGTATCACGATTTAAAAAGAAAAAATTATTATATAATTAAGGTTCAGAAGATTAGTTAGTTGAACTTATTAATTTGTAATGAAGTAAAAGTTAAAAATGAATTAAAAAAACAGCAAGAAAAAAATATTAAAATTTTGGTTGGGAAAAATTCCTTAATATAAATAAAAAAATAAACAACCAATTCTGAAAAAAAAAAAAACTTTCATAATTTCGTAAAAAAAAAAAAAAAAAAAAAAAATTTTNTGGGCAAAACCATAAAAAGTTGATGCTGTAGAAAAATATTTCACTCAAATAGATGATAAAATTTTTGAGTAAATAAATTTTTTTATATAAATATCTAAATCAAAATTTAAAAAAAAAAATCAATTAGGATAAATTTAAAGTTTATAAAAACTATTTTCATAATGTTGATTCATGATATTTTCATAATGGGATATTTACAATTACTTGGACCATAACAAATAAAATTTCATATTTTATTCCAAAATAATGTTATTTGAAGAAAACAACTTATCTCTCTGTAAAGAACAAAAGGGTATTGCGTATACTTCCTTGATTTGTCACAAATTCGATTAAAAAATTCAATCAATCATATCATAATAATATTCAATTACTTAATTATACTAATGAAACAATAGAACTGTTTAAATAAATAATAACCATATAAAATAATAACACAGTAAATGAGTATCAGGAATTTTGAGTAACCTAAATTGTTGAATGAGTATCACGATTTAAAAAAAAAACATTATTATATAATTAAGGTTCAGAAGAGTAGTTAGTTGAACTTATTAATTTGTAATGAAGTAAAAGTTAAAAATGAATAAAAAAAACAGCAAGAAAAAAATATTAAAATTTTCGTTGGGAAAAATTCATTAATATAAATAAAAAAATAAACAACCAATTCTGAAAAAAAAAAAACTTTCATAATTTCTTAAAAATAAAAAAAAAATTCTGATGATAATAAAACTTTATGACAGAAAATAACACTTTAAATGTTAATTATGCTAATTGTTGTGAAATTTTATCAATAATTGTGAAAATTTTTAGTAACTGTTTAAAATGACTACATATATCTTAGAATTCATGTTTATAACTGCAAAAACTAAGGGTTCAGGCCAAACCAATATAAAAGCATCTTTATACCACGATGATTTAGACAAATGTTTAAATACATTTGGCCAGATAGTGTAATTTTTATCCTTTGTCTATCTTTTATCTATCTTTGTCTATCTTTCATCTCTCTTTTTATCCTTAACCAATGTAATCTATGCAAATTATGAAAATGACATAAAATCTTTGCATTGCTTTTCTAAAATCTTTGTGTCTTAATATACATAAATTGAAAATTATTTGTTGGTATTAACAATTTTCACCATTGTGAAAAATCTGTTTCAATTGGCAATTTCATTAAAAAAATGTAAATAGTTTTTCAAATATTTTAAATTTTTGTTAAATCAATTCTTTTCACAAATTTAAAATATAAAGTCTAATGCATTTTTTACAGTTTAAAATTATAGCACTGTTTTGTATTTGAGTTTTGAAAATGAGTCTTTTTACTTTTATTTTATACAACATAAAAAAAATAGTCAAAATCAAATAAAATATCATGATTTTTTAAAAAATAACTTGAAATTGTTCAGAATAGTGAAAAACATCAGTGAACAGCAAAGAAAAATTACTTTTCATGTTATTAAGCATTTAAAAAAATTTTCTCTTTACAGTTTATGAATCAACATGTAATCACAATTTTTCTGTAGCCTGAAAACATTATTTTATAGCAACTTTAAAATTAGTTTTTCATTCTGAAGTAACCATTGTTTTTTAAGTTCTAGTTAACTTAGTAACTTATATTGTAGCTAAAATATTTGCAAGATTTATATATTGATTTATATATTTATACATTGATTGTCTTCAATAATTTGTCATTTCATTTTTTTAAAGGAAGATTTAAAGTTAATTATTTTTTCTCAACACTTATTAATCTTTAAAAGTAGTAAAAATTGAATAATTCGCAAAAAAATCAAAATTTTTTGTGAATAAAAGAAACTTTGCAGAATAATTGCGTTAAATAAAAAGTTCATTAATCAATCGAACATCTAATAATAATTGTCAATGACAAAATTATTTCAAAAAATTATACTTAATTGAAATCAAAATTTAGATTAAAAATAATTTCTGTGAGCTCTTGATACATTATTAAAAAAGATTTCTGAAAAGGACTTTAGAGTATAAATAGATGAACATTTATATTAACAATTTATTGTATTAATATTGTATCAATTTTCAATATGGTTGTGAACATATACGCATAAAATAAATCTGAAAAGTAAATCTCAGTAATGAATGCAACTAAATGAAATTACTTTTAAATTTTTCAGCACTTTCTGAAAAACATGGGTGAAAAATCATCCACTCGTTTGGACTCTCATAAGGTTTGATGCAAATAAATACATCTGGCAAAGCATCAGCCAATTCCAGGAAATTATTGTAACCCAAGTCAGCAAGGTCAAATATTTCTCCAGTAGTTTTCTAAATAAATAGAAAAATGTACATACATATAAGAAATTTCATTAAGATTTAGAAATTTCAATTTGCTAAAAAAAAAATTATTTAAACTTTTTTTTTTAATTGAGGTTCATAAATTATTCTTCAGATGAAAGAAGTTTAAGATTTGGCATGCTGCAACAAATCCTTAACTCTTTGTTAAAGAATGAATCAAACATTATTTAAAAGAAAAATTTAAAAATCAGTTTAATAAAGTACAAGGTCATTAAAGTAAAACCGACAGTAGCCTGAAGCTTGCAGCTCCGGTTCTACTTTATAAATCCAGGGGAAACTTCAAATATAGTAGAGTGGTGGTTAAAGGGAACAAAGCCGATTCGGATAGTGTAATATTCGGATAATAGGAAAACGGCTATGCGAATTTTTTTAAGTAACTTCTCTTCACATTTTTTAAAGTCTTAGGACTGGAAATTGTACAAGTGTCTATAACAGTACATTACATTCGGCACATTTAAAAGTTTTATTTTTTAAAATTCTATTCAAAACTAAAGAGGAACTAAAGAAGCCATTTTTTGGCCCCTTTCAGTTATTTTAAAAATAAAGAAGCATTTTCGTAAATTTTTTTGTAACATTTTGCTGAAGGTGGGAAAAACACATGGCCCTTGAGCGATCTGGATAATTGATAATAAAACACATAGTAAATTATGGGGTCAAGATTTTTCATCACCCACTTTTTTTTATTTTTATTCATACAGTATAGCTGCGATAAATAATTCTAGTTTCTATAGCAAAATCTTAAATTTAATTATCGGAATAACATAAGCAATTACATTTTTTAAAAACTCTATCTGTATGTAACGACTAGAATAGTAAAAAGTGATAAACAAGGTTGGGTTTTTCGAAAGCTGGTTAAAACAAATTGAGTTAAAAACCTACTAGGATGACACTTAGGAAAATCCTACTGCCGGTGAAGCATTTACTGTACATAAAATATAAATTATAGTTCAAAATATGCCCTTATAACAATTTCAATAATCTGTGTGAATTATAAATTACAGCGAGTAATTTTATTAATTAAACAAGTTCAAAACTGTTTAGAAATTTTGAAACTAAAATGTAAAAAGTTTTGTTTAATCTCTATAAAATGTGAATCACACTATTGTAAGCAAATCTAAGGGTTAAATAGCAAAATAAAATTAATTCTTAGATTTGCTTACATGGTTATCATTGCTTAGTTTGCTTCCACAATATGCTCACTCTGTTTTATCTTCCTTTTTACAGTATAAACTGTTAGAATCTTCTTACCAATCATTCTAGTCAATCTGATCCCAGCAAAATAAATTTTTAATACTTTGTTCTAATTTTGTGAGATCAGAATTAATATTAAAGAATTTAATCTTAACATCATTTAAAAATCACAAATCAAAACAATAAGCCAATCTAGAACATGTAAGCTTTTGATCGCAGAGTGTGCTAGCTCAAAATCTCACACGCATCTTTAGAAACACAAACATCATAATGTAAAAACATAGCTGACACTTGTTTACTGCCTCTAATTAAACAGAGGGGGATAGGAATGAAATACAGTGCACCAATCATGTGATGCTGATACCTTGGCAAGGATATTTTTCTTCTCCCCTGTCTCTCTTTTTTTGACCAATGCGCTCCACCCAAATAATTTGTCGCAGGAGAGAGTTTAGATTTCCACTTGAGCTTCATATTTTTTCCTCATCTCATGAATTTTTTTTGCAAAGTGTAGAACTCATTTTTTTGAATCCCCAGAGTTCTGGGGTTTCTCTGAATACATGTATTTATTTTCAAGTTACAAATTGTAATTTGTTGAAGATGTCACACACTTGTCAATCAAAAACACACCATATTTTAATAAAAATTAATAGTTAAAAATGAGAAAAAGAATAATTTTTTGAGAGCAAACAATTTAAAATTGCTTAAGTATTAAAAATATTTTTGTAAAAATTTATTTTCGAATAAATGCTAGTGAAAATTGATTAAAACAAAGAGAAAAAAATATTTGACTTATAGACAATTTGATTCATTTCCTAGAAAGACTATTGTTACAATCTTAAAAATGATGAAAATTTAAACAAATCAAACTAAAATATTAAAAAAAAAAAAAATATGAAATGTAGCAACTTTTGTACATCTGAGAACAAATAATAAAGAGAAAAATATGTTTGAGAATAAAGTTTAGGTTTAACTTAATAAATTAATAGCTTACCTCATATAAAAAAGGAAAATGTCTAGCCAATACCCCATCAGGATAAAGTTTTAAAACCTAAAAAAGTAAATAAATCAAGATAAACAGTGATCAAACATTAATAGACATAAAAAGAATATTTCTTCCAAAAATTCATAAATCAATTTAAACACAGTCGAACTTCAATGCTCAGGTGGTACTACAGATAGTTTTTAAAAAAAATTAAATTATAAGATGTTATGACAATTAAATATAGTTACCAGAATCAAACTATGAGAAAAATTGTTCTTAATAATTAGTGACTATAGGACAAAATTAGGAAATTTGTTTACTAGGAATTGAAGCGTTTTAACAGTGGCCATTTTTTAAAACATGTTAGTTTTCAAAATTTAAAAATTGTACACTGTAGCAACCACATCACTAAGCTACAACAGCGCCACCATATACAAGGCAGTAGATACTCAGACTTCGAACTGAATGGACCTTACACTTATTTCTCCTTTTCTTAAGTAATTAAATTTATGTTTGTTTGTCCATGTGCTACATGTGTACTAATAAAATATTTGGCACTAAGCTTTTTTCCCTTATTTTAAACTCCCCGAGATCTAGCTAAGGGGCACAACATGGTGTTGAGCCACAACTTGTTTTGAAGCATTTCTCAAAATATGGTAAATATTACATGGTTCATTTCTAAAATGAAGAAAATTTTTACAAAACAAGTATGAAATAAGTAAGTTTCATAATATTATAAAATATTCATATTTTTTCAATATTTAAAAAAAAATAATACAATGCATGTGGAGTGCAGTTTGTACAAAAGAAATAGTGATCTGGTGACGTAAACAATTTTCTAATCACCATTTGTTATATTGCAGTTGCCCTTTGGGTTTAATTTCACCCTATGTTAGTGACTACAATAAAGTTTAAAAAAAACTCTTGTGACTTATTTTTCAAAGTTAAATAATGATATAATATTAAGAAAGAAAATCACACATTTATGATTTCAATTCTTTTGTTTTTTGTTAGCAGCCAGAATTTATAGTCTTCATCCTAAGAGCAATGGGATTAAATTAAATTTAAAGTTCAATAGAACAGGGCCTATAAAACAGTAGTAATGGGATAATATCAGCTGAATAATGACAAAATGCATCTCAAGATGTTTTTATAGTCAAATGGCCAAAGCGTTATAGATTTAAACGTTAGATAGTCGGGATTCTACTATAAACATATGATTATATAATTTTTTGAACAGGGTTATAAAGCTTTTAAAAGTTATTCAAAATTTAAATTTAATAGTTAAAAAGGTAATACAGTCGAACCCCGCTATAGTGAACCTGGGATATAGTGAACACTCGGATGTAGTGAACTTTTTTAGCGGTCCCGTCCTTTTTCCTATTTAAATAATGTTATTTTTAACGCTTATAGTGAACAGCTTAGAACTTGGAAACTCGGTTATAGTGGACTCAAATTTCATTTCTTTAAATATCTTTTTCAGTCCTCCATCTTTAAACTTGTAGGTGTTGGGACTGAAAATGAATGCATTCCTATAAAATGTGTCATATTACTCTCCTTTATGCTTATCACTTTTAACTATACTGTAATAAATGTCAAACAGATCATTTATCTTATACTCCCCCCTCCCTGACAAGCCTCGCTTTATCTCTTTTCCCCAAGCTTGCTCTACAACTAGTTAACTTGGCCACCTGCTGAATTTTTGGAATTTTCTTATCTGTTCAAACCATATTCTTTACAAATCACCCCTTGACAATCAAGAAGGGGAACAATTTAACTCATTCTACAGCTGCTCTCTTCATATTCTTACATTATCTATTTGAGACAAGATTTTTATTTCAAAAGCAGTGAAAATGGCAAATTCGCTAAAGAGAACAGCGTTTTCGATAGAGGACAAAGTTAAAATTGTAAAGCGTATTGATGATGGAACCAATCAATCGACACTGTGTAAGGAATTTTGCTTGTCAAAATCTACAGTTTCAAACATTTGGAAAAATCGAAGTGCAATTCTTGCGGCATACGACAAAAACATGGTCACATCGAAAAAAACTGCGTGGAGCTCAAAGAGAAAACGTAGGAGATGCTTTGTTAAGATGGTTCGAAATCTTGTTCAAAATGTAAAAATCTTGCATTCTTTGCACATTGTAGATAAGAAAATTGATGAACTCAATTTAAAATCAAATTGTGTTCAATCAAAAATCATAAATTTTTTTCATAAAAAGTGAAAATAAAACTAATATTTAGCGACTTAATAACTTTTTCCATCAATTTTTGCTTTATTATCTGTTAATTAGTTAATAATTTTTTAAATAACTTATGCAAAATTGCAAAGCNAGTCGGGATTCTACTATAAACATATGATTATATAATTTTTTGAACAGGGTTATAAATCTTTTAAAAGTTATTCAAAATTTAAATTTAATAGTTAAAAAAGTAATAGATAACTGGATGAAATTTAAGGCAAATTTGCGTCATTTAAACAAAATTGCTAATATCAAAGTTTATAATAAAATTGTGAAAAAAAAATTACTTTTTCAAAGTCCTCTTTTATCACCCGTGGAATGATGGGTATATCAGCAGTTTCAAAATTCTCAACATTTAGTTGAATTTTTTGAGATTGAGAATCTAAAATTTAACATAAAAAATACATTAGATAAATAAAATTTAAGTGAACAAAACATACAATAAAGGGTGAGATCTAAATAAAATTTGTAGGCTTAGTATCTTTATATCAACAAAATACTCATAATAAATAAAATAAAAATTTAGGAAATTTTAAGTGTAGTGGTATAATGTATCAAATGTAGTAGTATAAGTAAATTTAAATCAGTAATTTTATTTAAAATGCATTGAAACATTTTCTGGTTATTTAATTTTTAAATTTATATTAAATATATTATCAAATATATTTGCATTAACTAAAAACAGGTATACACACTGCTGCTATTAAACTGCAACATATGCTATACTTTTGTACTAAGGTAAATGCTATGCTTTTTTTGTATATATATTATACATACACAAGTGGGCGACCTTTGCGCTGATATACAAACTAAGACAAACAACGTTAAAGAGCACAAAAATATTTATAAAATACAGACAGCTGTTTCGGATGCTCAAAGGGTAACCTTCATCAGTGCAACAGAAAAGACTGTTTTCTGTTGTACTGATGACGGCTGCCCTTTGAGCATTCGAAACAGCTGTCTGTATTTATACAGACAGCTCGAAACAGCTGTCTGTAAAATACAGACAGCTGTTTCGGATGCTCAAAGGGTAACCTTCATCAGTGCAACAGAAAAGACTGTTTTCTGTTGTACTGATGACGGCCGCCCTTTGAGCATTCGAAACAGCTGTCTGTATTTTATAAATATTTTTGTGCTCTTTAACATTGTTTGCCTTAGTTTATATATATTATATGTTTAACAACAATTTTCTTTATCTTGCTAATGCTATCAAATCTAAAATAAAATTTTAGAAAACAGATTTAAAACATTTATTTTCAAAAAAGTTTCTTTTTGCAAGGAGTAGCTAATTATACAAAAAGGTCTTATGTATAAAAATCTTAATTTTGAATTTTTTCGCTAACACTCATTTTTCTGTTATTTGGCAGCATATTCTCACTAACTTAATGAATTATACATTTCATAATCATTGCAATCATTGAATATTATTTTAAAATGATGGATTATCACAGAATGAATTAAACATAAGTGTGACAGGTTACAAATCATAAAAAGATATGAAATGAAAACACATCTGTGAGAGTAAAAATTCTTTAATGACAGAAAGGAAAAATTTTATGACTAAAAAAGAAAGTAAAAACATTTAAAATAAATACATTTATATTATCACATATTTACCTTGCGTAGATAAGGTGTCAGATGATATTTTATTATTGCCTTCATGTCTCTTAGTGTTTCTTGTAAGAGGGTAGTAGAATAACCTTTCAGTCTCATCTACCACTTTCACATGTAGTTCTGAAACAGCCATTTCAAGTTTTCTCAACCTATCATAACGACTCTCAGAAAGAAATTCGAGGTTTAAAGGTCTTTTAAACTTCCTTTGATAGGCTAACTGAAGCGAGTTGTAGTTTATACCATCTGGGAAGTCCTTCAAAACTTCAAATAAATTTTTCCTCAAAGAAGCAGAGACAAATGGTTTGATTTTGGAGGAATGATTGAATGCCTTCGGAAGGCTATCTCGACCAGAACCATTTTTTGTCTTAGTTTTGACAACTCTTTGCTTTCCAACTAGTTTTTGTATGTGTTCAGTGCTTTCATCAACAATGCAGTTCAAGAGAATGTCACCATTTCTATCTGTTTGTATTTTAACTATATCCGTAAGAGAATATAAGAAATCGACATCTGACGTGAAGCCAAATTCTCTCGATGGTAGTCGGATTCCAACCAGCTGGTGGTATGCTTTCAGAAATCCATTTAAAGAGACTCCTTTTGGATAAGTTATAATCACACTTCGAATTTCTTTCTTAACAATTGCTAGCCTTTCTTCGTGCATTGTACCTAAGTAATAAGGTAAGATAAAAATTTTTAAAAAAACATATTGTAATCTATATCGAGAACTGCCAAACTGGAAATTCTAGCTTTTGATTTTATTTAAAGTGGCAATTAATAAAAAAGCATGCATAGATTTTTAAAAATTTCACCATCACTTAAGAACAAATTATTTTATTTTCCAACATACCATACATACTTTTCAACTATTTACATACATTACAGTGGCCAAAATCTTTTAAAATCAAATGTTAAAGCAGAAATTCTGCTATCACTTTGAAGATTTGGGAATAATAATTGACTAAAAGTTGGAAAAGTTGACAGGTCTGTATATTTATTTATTAAATCAAAACACATAAATTATTATGATAAAGAATGTGGTGGTAATAAAAAATGCTCAGACTATTTCTTACTAAGTAAATTTTAGCTTTACAAAGCTTCAAATTTTGATCTTTGAAATTGATCAGTTTGCTGAAATTCTACTCAGAATTGTTACACAATTTATTTTTTTCTGACAAGAAACATTTAAACGAAAAAAAAAAACTTTCTTGTAGAGATATATGTATGAAAAAAAAAAATTTTTTTTTTTGTAGAGATATGCATAAAATAGTGAACAAGTTCCCACCCATAGTTTTATATGATCATTGACCAACTATCGAAACCTAATAAGCCCCTATTCAGAGTAAGATAATATAGAGGCACATGTGCACAACTATAAGTGCAGGAATCTTTAAATTTTGCAGATACTTTTTTATGGTAATGGCAATTTCAAGGCAATTTAAAGTATCAAATATCAGAATTTGAAAATTACCCCTTGTGACTTATATTTAGTGATAATATGCAAATAGAGATCAAATAGAGTGATTTAAAAATCAAACATCGTTATTCATATTCAACACTATTTGTATTCAAGTGATTTTAAAACCAAACATTACGAGTTATATTCACACAATCTAAAAATTCAATATTACGATTCGTATTCACGCACTCTTTAAAATTAAAATCACGATTAACATTCACACAATTTTAATATCGAACATTGATTTTCACGAATTAAAATTTAAACATGGGGATTCGTGTTCACACTATTCTACACCATTTAAAAATTTTACGCTTCAACATTTAAAAATTACAAATCAAAATTCAAATTCCTGCAATTTCAAAATCAAATGGCATGCCTCATATTCACATGACTTTAAATCTCAATATTGCGATTTGTATGCTTGCATCTTTAAAATTTCAGTAAATCACCTTCATGGTGATTTTAAAATCAAATATCTCACTTTGTATTCTCTTGAATTTAAAATCAATTATCCCCATTTGTATTCATGAGATTTCAGATTCATTATTTAAAGGCTTTTCAGATTCCACTTAGAAATGGTGGTAAATAAATATTTTTAAATTAAATCTCTTGTTCTTTGTGTTTATTCTTTATAAAATAATCTTTTTAGCTAATGGTTTTTGACAATCCAATGGTAATAATTATAAAAAGAGTAAAGGTGAAAGGTTAAAATGAAATTTCTTTATTTTAATTATTTAATTTTAATTTAGTTTGTTTTATAACAATAACATTTCCATTTCATTAAATATGTTCGATTTTATTAAAAGATATAAGATTTTCCCTTAGCTACCCTTTAATCATCACACTATTCTGCAAAATCCCCTTAAGAAAAAAAAATAGTATGTTCTTATTAGAAAATGCAGAGTAACTGCTACATTTCAAGAAAAAATAAAAAATATGCAGACTACAATTAATATCACCCACCTTATTACCTTTCCTCTATGCAAACAGGATTTCCAACCTCCGGAGATTACCTAGGAAAATTTTTTAAATCAAAACTACAAACCCATTTTGGAATTTTATAATCAATGCTTTCTTAAATGGCGTGAATAAATGGATATCTTTGTTTCTTCTTGGTGTGAATAAAAAGGTTTTGTGTTTGTGTGAATAAATAAATGGGAACACACAGTTTGCATGCCACACAAAAACTTATCTATAGTGAACAAAAAACAATGAGTGATTAGTTTTTTCTAAACAACAGGTCTTATAGTGGGTCAAAACATAATGCGATGTTGAAGTGTGATGTGATGTTGAATTATATCATCCAGGGGCGGATCCAGAAATTTTTCCTGGGGAGGGTCAGACATTGTGAGCTGTAGCTTTCATTTGTATTTTTTTGGCATAGTGAATACAACTATTTGGTAATAGTGAAATACAACTTTTTGGCTGTCAAATGTCCAAAACATAAGAAAGATATTGGAATAACTCACATATTGAAAAATTTCAATAACTAAAAATTAATTTAAAATACAATATACATAACTAAAAATGTATGTTCCAATTAAACTAGAAGTCTTTAGTGAAACATGAGACCTTATAATAACTCCCTCTAAGTACAATATATCAAAACAATAACTAAATAAAAGTATTTATAAATAGCAGAAAATATGAGTGTTGAATTAAAAAATAATTATAAAAACTAAACCAATGGAAAATTTTATTAGAATTTCCTCTTCCCATTATATGTACAAGTCATTAAATATTTTTTTATGAATAACTCAGAAATAAATAAGTATTAATAACCTACATGTTACAGCCTGAACGAGTAAAGATGAAAAAGTTATAAATAGCACTAATAAACTAACTTTAAAGAAAGACTGAAATAAAATACTGTTTTATAAAAGGTTATCAGACAAAAATGTAAGTTATACCTAAAATTACCTTTATATCGAGTCACATTTAATAGTGAAAATTAACATGAATACTACTGGTTCAGTGACGTTTAATATTGCTTTGTTTGTTTACATTTTTTAAATCGGCTTACAGTTAAATTAAAAATAGCGGGAAACTAGCCTTTTTGTAATACTTTTTTTTATTTAAAAGAGGAATTAAAGGAAGAGCTAAAGAGGAATTAATTCTTTATTTTTCAAATTAAATTAATTATTTATTTGTTAATAGGAAGTGATCTGAGAATATTTTGTATAATGTGATTTATTAAATGGGTTCGCACCAGTAGGTAAGGACGTCCTTTTGACGAAACCATTTAAAAGAAATAGGAAAATTTGTTCGTTCATTTTGTTAATTTGTTGCTGTAAGAATTTGCTGAACAATAAATCATATATATTTCCTAATTTATAACTTGTTCTTTACTTCTATTTTGCAAAAAAGAATGGCATTGTGCCTGAATTTGCTGAGGTATTAATTTCGTTGAACTTAATTGATCTATTTAAATTTTGCTTCGTTGGTTAATTTAAAATAAATTTACCAAGAGGTCAAATATATATATTTATGTTTGCAAATATTTTAATTAGTATGTAAATAACTTTAATTAGAGGAACGTTCCCCGAAAAAAAGTTTCATACTCATCTTTTATAATAGTATCCTTTGATATTATGATCTTAATGTTTTTAAAAATAGCATTATTGTTATATTTAAGTGGCTATTTTATTAATTGCTATATACTTCTCCTTATGTAAAGGAATGACTTTCTATCTGAATTTTTTGAGGTGTAATTTTAAATAGATCACAGCTAGTCTATTTAAATTTTATCTCTTTTTTTTATGTTAAAATTAGTTTACTTTATTTAATCTAAGTATGGGGGAGATTTTGGAAGGAAAAAAAAAATCTCAGAAAGGGACTAAGTAAACATCCTGGTAAACATCTATTTATTTATTTTTAAAAGAAATTTGCAAGTTTAAAATCTATTTGACATCTTGGTGATTGTTGTTGGAGAGACAGATCAAGATACGGAAATATCCCCAAAACATGCACATAAACTGTACAGCAATATTGTAATTTTCAAGAATATTTCTTCATTACCTGTAAAAAAAAAATACTATGACTAGAAGTTTTCATAAATAATATAGGTATTATGGAAAAGAGAGTTTCAAAGAAATTCTGAGCTAGGCTCTCTATTAGTATTTACAGACAAATCTAGAATGAGAAACTAAAGCCTTAAATATCTTAAAAAGGCTGTTTTAAATTCTCTACATTTACTTGCAGTCTCGGAATTTAGAGAATACGTTAGAAAAATATATATCTGGTTAGGTTAAATTCAGTATAAAAATGTAGATATTACCTTATTCACATAAATTATTGCAAATAGCTAGTTGCTAATATATACATGGTGTGGAATAAAGTATCGTTAAATATAAGTTTGCAAATTATGAGTATATTGTTCTCTAGTTCTTTCTGTTCACAAATATTTTATAAATGTAGAAATTTAGAACAAAAAAGCACAAATAAAAGCTAATTTTACTGAAATTTAATTTAAAAGTTTTCCACTTCAATTATTTGACAATTCATTTTATGAACAGCATAAAATATATCTAAAATTTGAAAAATTTTTAACTGCCATTATTATATCAATTGTAATTATGAAGTTAATTACAATTGATAATTTTTCATACATTTTTACATAGTTAACTTCTTATTATTTCAGTTATCATTGACTTTTTGTTATTTAGGTCTTTAAAAACATATTTGAAACAAAAGTATGGTTTTACAAGCAAACACCAAACAATGTACAACAAGTAAATATGTAGATAGCTTTCAAATCACTTATTTTGTTAGCAACATTTTCTTAATTTTAATTACGTGATATAAATAATCATTAAATATCACAGTATTAACTTCAAATGCTACCAGCTTTTTATTAAAAAGAGCTGAAAGCTAGCAGGCATTAATAAAAATTAATTGAAAAGTTGAAGTAATGAGAATAATTGATATTTTAATTGATTGAATAGAAAATGTTTAATAGCAGTTTATATTGCTGCAATGTGCCATGACAATTCTATGACACAAAAAAATCATTTTCTCATGCATCCTTCCTGAATGGACAAATAAAAAAATTTTCAATTTAGAATTGTTGGATAAAATTACCCCTTTGCATCCACTGTCTAAATTTTAGTATCCTTAGCAGAAGATGTTCTGGAATGACAAGAGGGGGACACACAAAAACTTCTTTTATGACAGATTAATTAAACTATTCTATCCATGTAAATAACATTTAAACTGTGTAATGTACTTTGAATCCTATTTTCAGGTATAATGTTATTGAGGAATCTATTTTACAGTTTTAAGTTGTATAATTTAAATTGTGTTCAATAATTCCCAACTTTCAATTTATTTTGTTTAGGCGAAGTGGCAGATTAGGATTCCAGAAATACCTTGTATCATGCAATGGTTTTCAAAGGTAAAAATTTGCTTTGAAAAAGTTCATTTTTGGTTGTTTGTTTGCTTTCAATTTTTTACATAATGTGTTGATAAGTTCAACGTGAATAATTATTGTTTTATTTAAGTTCATATAATTATAGCAAAAATAATTAATATTACTTAGAAAAAAACTTTTAGTAACTATATATGCAATTTATAATTTATGTATATACGTATCTGTAATTATTTTTTTATGTTTGTGTTTATATTTGCTTTATATTTAAAATGTGGGCAATTTTAAAATCTTATAAAGTTCTTTTTTGAAAAAAATAAAAAATCTTCCAACTTTTTTTTAAAATTTCTATTTGTTCAAAAAGCATTTAAATATAAATAAAAAAATTATTTTGTAGATCATTTCCTGTGACAACATCTGCTACAAAGCATGCAGTTGAGAGTTTTGCAGAAAAGAATGAGCGGCTGCAGAGACCATTATCTCCTCATCTGACTATTTATAGGTAAAACCGGAATTAATTCAAATAAAACTGCTGTTTCTTCTAAAATTATTGTTTTATTGCATGTTCACCATCACAATGCCAGTAAAATTCTCAAAACTTTTAATTTTTAAAATTAATTTTTTTTAGTTATTACATATTACCAGTTTCTTTGAGTTTATACAGTGAAATCTCTTGGGAGTGACCTCTCTCTGTCACACAGTAAAATGGTTGTTAATTCAGGCTGGGTTGTTCCTAGGGTTTACGTTCATAGACTTCAAAATATTATCAAAGGTACATGAATTTTTGCTAGCAATTTTAATTTTACTCAGTGTCATTCTCTTGGTGCAGAAATGCCACTTGTGTTGGTGTCATAAAAACTGGATCAATGAATAAAATTTGGAGTAAAAAAAAATGACCTTTACTGGTATGTGTAGAGCAATTTTGCCAATTATAAATCATGGAACGACAGTAGGGAACCGATTATCCAGAGTGATCGGGACCATCGCTGTTCCGGATAACTGATTTTTCCGGTTTTCTGAATCGCTACAAAAAGCCGTTTTTATTGTTAAACCCAACTAAAACAACAAAAATTTCTGGAAATAATCTTAAAAAGAAGAAAAAACGATGAAGTAATACACTAATGATTATTTCCAAAATGATGGTAAGGTAAACATCTTTCAAAAAAGAAAGACAAATCCTAAAATCTTATAAGGAAAAAAATTTTTTTTTTTTTTTTAAATGGCAGGAAAATTTACTTAATTTTGTTCCGGTTTTTGGGTTTTCCGGTTTTCTGATTTCCGGATAACAGTTTCTGTACTGTATTTTAAATAAATTGAAAAATTTTATGTTAAAATTAGTTT